GTACGGGCAGCAGGGCAACGACACTGCTGGCGCAACTGCCCATAATGCAGACTGGTACGGGCAGCAGGGCAACGACCTTGGTGGTGCAACCGCCCATAATGCAGACTGGTACGGGCAGCAGGGCAACGACCTTGCTGGTGGTGCAACCGCCCATAATGCAGACTGGAACGGCCAGTATGCGCAGCAGGGCTACGACGCTAACCACCCACGTCAGTACTACTACGGTGAGACGCCTTGCTCAGCAGACGAAGAAGAAGAAACTACCTTATTGTTGGGAGAAGAGGCAAGGAGCCAATATCATCATACTCATCGAAATTCCAACATCGTTTGACCCACCAACGCAGATGACCTATGGCCCTATGGCCCATGATCCACACCCGAGATGGTTCCTTACAACTCGACACTAGATTGAGGATCCTGCAACCAGCAGAGGATCCTTGAAACTAACCCCCCAGGATCATTGTGATAAAAATGATACTTATTTTATTAGGTCCTAAAAAGTTTTGGTCTTGTTTTTGACAAAGGACGTCCTTTTCCGTGTCTCCACCAAAGGTACTGAATGAGCGACACGAGTGACCAAGATCTTTTGGTCATCTGTCCTCAGAAAAAGAGGGAGAGAACAAGAGAATCAAAACACTAGACAATTAGAGAAGAATTCTGTTAACCAAGACACTAGACATCTGTCTGCGTCAAGTTGGGAAAACTCGAGAGAAAGGAATAGCCTTGCCGTTAGGTTTAGAGTCTGCCGCGAGAGCAATGGCCTCTGTCATTGGGGTTCCAAGCTAGAAAAGGCCCAAGCTGGAGATGACAAAATCTGTCAGCAAGAGTCTGTCAGCAAGAGAGAGACTGCGTTTCGCTGCTGCACATTTCAATTGTTTGTGCATGAGCTACAAGATGGTCCATGACTTCAATATTCAGTGTTGATTTTCAGCACTCTGTATTATACTTTCGCGTACCCCATCAAGCACTGTGCTGGTACAACTAGGCTCCTTTCCCTTTTATGCACCTACAGCTTAAGTAAAGTGGCCTCAGTAAAATATTTTCGATCTATCTAGACTATTTATGTGTTCCATGTTTCGATCTATCTAGACTTTTTTAACCCATATGTACTTCCATTATTTCATTAATCAATCAGTCAGTCACTGAGTAGGAGTAGCTCCCTGAGTCAGTCGTGACTTCAATCATCAAGAAGTTTTTGATCTGCACAAATAAATCACATAGTACATAATCCAGCATAATGACGGCCTCCTCTTCAAAGACTGTCGCGAATGCACATCACAGTCAGCATCATGGTCATCACCAGAGCCAGCGCGCGTCGAATCACCAAGAAGGAAGCGATCCTAAAACTTGGAATCATGGCCACGGTCCCAGCCACGACCAGCATCGTTCCAGCCACGAGCATCATCGCCCCAGCCATGATAGTGGGAACGCTGAGGGGCCAGCCACAGACGGAGATGATACAGGCAAAGCACCACCAGGATCACCCGGAGCGGACCACCGAGGTAGCCATCATAGTCATGGGCATCATGGGCACCGTCATAGTCATGGGCATCATGGGCACCGTCATAGTCATGGGCATCATGGCCAGAGGACAACATCTTCAGGGAAACAGCACCTGGCATCCGAGGCCACGAAGAGCCACCAGGGCGTCCTGTCTGCTTTAGACGAGCTGCATCAGGGTGTAGATGACCTTGTATCCAAAAAATCTCATCACCACCAGCATCACCATCGAGTACATAAATCTGTTATGCCTCATAAGGTGTCTGATGTGCCTGAAGTTGCCCTTTTCGGCAAGCAATCTCATTCAGCAACCAAACGGACAACGACACGAAAAGATCGAGATCGTAGCCCGGTTGGAAAGATTGAGGAAGACTTGGATAGAGAGCAACAGGCATTCGTTGCTGCCAAGAAAGCGGAGGAAGACTTGGATCGAGAGCAACGGGCATTCGTTGCAGCACAAAAATCTTCACAGGAGCGTGTCTCGTCTCCACCATTGATGACGCAAAAGACGAAACAGCTTGATGAAGATCCTAGTAAAAATGCTGCTGTGCTGCTTGGTAAAAATTTCGAAATTAGCACACCACGACCTGCACGCGGAAGCACAGCACCTCCATGGGCAGTCGCATCACAAGTTGTCCAGCGCAAGGTCGAAGAACGAAAATCCAAGGAAGAGGGCAGCTTAGCGAGTCTGGTTATGGCAGCAATGAAGGCACGGAAGAGTAGCAGGTCTGGCACCACTGGTGTCGACAACGACCAGCTACAACAACAGCAACGTGCTTCGCGAATCGCTAGTGCAGCCGCATCTGCTTTGCAGAAAAAACTGGCCGGGAGGAGATCAGCACCATCAAGTTTGTTGTCGCCAAGTGAATGGAACAAGGTGAATGGAATGAATTCTGCTAATTATAATTCAAGTTCTCGGAACGTAACGCAAGAAGATCTCTCAGCCCTATTGAAGGAAAGCGGCGAGGCAGCCGAAGAACAACTGCGACTACTTTTGGGTGAAGATTTTGCTGAAGAGATCATGAACACGAAAGTGAACAACGATGAGAAAGGTGGTATGAGTACTTCTTATGCCAACAACAAAGCAGTGCAGAGTTTCTTTCCGAAGAGTCGTCTTTTAGCGGAGTACATTACAGCTGCGGCAAAACTCGAGGATGCAGCCACTGCAGTTCTTGGGAATTATGCTCGTAAGGATTCGTCATGGATGCAAGAAATCGTGCGAGAAGACCACAGCACTAGTAGTACAAGTAGGAAGATACTAGGAGATGCTGCGAATGTGAATGATCGAGGGCAATATCATGGGTACTATAACTACCAGGCTCCGACGGCGCAGCAGAGTTTGATGAGTATGAAAGAGCTGTTTTTACGAAGCCAAGCTCCGGGAGATGGAACCTTTTCCGCTCTTTTTGGAGACGATTATACTGGAGATTTAGCGAACGTGGATACTGGAAGTGCAGATGCCGGACTGGGTAGTTTGAAAGAAGAATGGATGCGACTTAGAGTGAAACAACTATTGCGAGAGCAGAAGGCGAAGGGTGATTACCAAGTTGGAAGACGTCGAGGGAGGAGATCCTCATCTAACAAGAATAGGGATAGACGAGGCAACAGGAGGACGCCTTCTAGATCCAGGTCTCCAAAAGAACATCAACGTTTTCCTCGCTCGGGATCTAAAGAGAAGAAGCAAATTTCCACGTCCACTCCAGTCTTTCTCACCTTTCATGCAGTCTCCTCAGAGGGTGCCAGCAGCTCGGACTCGGTCTCTGGTGAAAAGGTCTGTAAGTCGTCGTTTTTTTGCGAGATTTGTTGTCAGGAGGAAAGCGATTTCAAGGCACCGTGTGAACAGGAGGCGACTTCCAGGAAACGACCTCCCACCTACCTCCTATTACGCGAGGGCGAGACTTGTGCTGTTTTAACGGACCAAACTACTGCAACAGTGCATGTGTACGAACAGTTGCGTAGGCCAGATTCTTCCAAAGGCGGCAAAGGAGCAGGTAAAGGCAAAGGGCCTAATGCAGTTCCATCCCGTGATGAGATCGATTTCGCTCGAGCCGTGCCGCTTGGACAAAAGAAAGTTCCGCTTTCTGGGTCAGTGCATGGCGACCGGAGACCTAATATGTCGCATATTTTGTCTCGCCAATGGCTACGCCTAGACGCGCCAGCTATACGCCCAGGTCGTTGTGGCACTTTGCCTGTTTTTTTACAGGATGATCATGTTGGTTCTTCTAGTTCCGATGATCATGTTGCTCCTTTCTATTCCGACAACGCTCCACAAAATAGAGCAAGAGTATGCCTGTCTCTTTTTTCTAACTAGACAACGAGAAACTAAAAGGGAGACTGGCGGTTCTGAAAAATCATCATTCCTTGAACGCAATGCCTTTCTCAGATTGAAGACCACTCTTAGACATTGTAGAACTACAGTGTTCTCTGGAAAAATGAGGAGACGTGTGGAGGCATTTCCTCGCCTTCACAAAAGTTAAGTTTAAATTGGCAAAGTTAAGATCACTTATTCTTATGGATATGCGCGTCTCTACTCGGGTCGCTACGGAACCAGGCAGCTTTGAGTGAGTTGCTACGTGGTTCGAATGAATGAATGAATGACTACTACAAAAGGTTTTGTCAAAAGCTTGATGTGTGGTACTGAAGTGTGGTACTAAGAAAAACGGTCTGATGTTGTGCTGACTGAGAAGTTCTGCTCTTGGATCATGCCTACTTACTTGTAGTTCAAGTAGTACACCTAAAGAGTGCTGCTGAATAACAAGCAGAAGTAGTAGAAGAACCGAACTTGGGAAAGAAGAAGCAACACTAACAAACGACTTTGGAACTGGAATTGGAACTGTGGAAGTAAATGTCGGATGTTGATACTTCACATCCTAACACATCACAAGTAGACACTTACCATGACTTGACATAAAAAGTAGACACTTGTTCTTACATGACAGAACAAGAGGCACTTACATGACATGACATAGACGGAGGTAGAAAAGATCCTAGGATTTGTTACTTGGCGTTTCCGACGTAATCTGTAGTATCCAGGTCTACACCTGCACGTCTGGTGTAACAACAACTTACACAGATGAAATTATATCATTTTTTATATTCCTTCTTATAGATATAAGAACCTGCGAAGAACCTCATTCTTATAGATACAACCTGCGATAGCCTGCGATGATTCATTTGCGAACGTAGATTATAGATACAAGCTACCAAAACTTCCTCCGGAGTCTTTGGTCTGCATCTTCTGAGACAGATCTTCTTCTAAGACTGTAGTTGTGTAGCGATCAGGTGTTACACCAGTAGAGATCAGGAAAAGATGGGCTTCGATAGGTGGGGAAATTGGCACATCTGGTCCGACAGCTCTGAGAGCGAAACCTATTACGATCTCAACGGGCGCCCGATGAAGAAGATGAAGACGGCAGCGATGAAAGCGGCGCCAATGAAGAAGCCGCCGAAGAGCAAAGCAAGCAACGATCCTGAGGATTCGTTATGAAGTCGTACATCAGGCATACAACGTCAAAACAGATCTTTTGTGGGCTAGGTCAGCGGGAACTCTGTCGCGCCTGCACAGTCCAGGGGTGGCCCTGGGTCTGTTTGTTCCTCCGTTATCCAGCACCGCCGCTCGTTAGACGGCCGCATATAGTTGACTGATTGAGCCAGGTCGCCTTGATGTTTTCATCTCTCTAAACACCGGAGAAAACTCCGACAGCTCCGTGAGCAGCTACTCGCATTGTCACGGGATCAGTGCCACGAAAAAAGGAAAAGTATGTGGCATGCGATGGGACGTAACTTATGAACAGTGCAGAAATTCTGAAATATACAGCCACTCATGTCTAACCTAACCTAACCTAACCTAATATAACCTAACCTAACCTTTAGGCCCACACCTAACCTAACCTAACCTAATATAACGAAGAAGATACTAATGTTCGTTGAAGGTGATTATATCTTCCCAACTTGATTGTGCAAACAAGTACAAGCTGTTTCAATCTTGTGAACATCATTGTCATCAGGTGGCGGGAAGAAAGGTTGCAATTGAATGAACACAAGAACTTCAATATTTTTTTTAGGAGTGAGTACTTCTTCTAGATACTGCAAATTGATTCTCCTAAGCGACCTTCATGCCTGGACAGTCGATTCGGAGACAAGGCTTTTGTGAGAAGCACATAGACCAGAAAACAGGCGGCAGGAAGGTTCTTCACTACCGAGCTAAAAACGCGACGCCGGCTATAAGAGCAGAAAAGGCAAAGAGGAATTAAGACTTCTGAGTTTGTTTTAATGCATTTTTTATTAGTGTCGTAGAGTCCTCTATTCCATTATCTCAAGACGATCGATCATAATGACATGCTAGTATTGTCAATATATAAGAAACATTTTAATAATATGCTCTTTATGGTCTGTTTTACGTGTTGCGTTGCCGTAAGGCATAATATCCTCTTTTTGTCTTTATAGAGGCAGCATAGCCCACCCACTAGCATAAAGACTATCCTCTTTTTGTGGTCTTTATAGAACAGACTCCCCTTGTCTAAGCAAGAGAATTCGTGATCGCCGCGAGCGAAGGAAATTTGCAAAAGGTGAAGAAAATTCTGAAGGAGCATGACAAGCCGGATAAAGTGATCAACAAGAGAACCAACGGCGACAGCGCGCTAGCGGCAGCCGCGAAAAATGGAAAGCATGAGGTAATCTAAGTTCCGTTTGCAGCGTAATCTATAGGTAATCTAAGCATCTAAGTTCCGTTTGCAGCGTTGAGGTAATCTAAGTTCCGTTTGCGTTTCGAATGTTTTTGACTTCGTATTTACTTTTCAACCTGCTAGATATAAAGCATGATGTGTTGTGTGTTTCATTTTTAAGTACCTAGTCCTACTAGATCTTCATCTGTAGCTCCTTTTGGCTTGTCGTGCCTACTTCTATCTTCCATCTTCAACCGACGATGCAGAGGCTACTTCTGTCTTATTGTGCTTCTATCTTCAACCGACGATGCAGAGGCTACCTCTTGATTGATGCTTCTTGTACAGGTTGTCTGTGAGCTTCTGTTGCAAGGGGCCGACCCTCGATCACACATGGGATTGCAGAATAGAGCAGTAGCAGATATCACTGCGGGGATGATGGCGGAGGGAGCGCGTGGGAAATACACTGTCATCAATCAAATGCTGACACTAGCTTCGGACCACAGTTAAGAAAGAAGTTCAAGTTGTAGTATAATGGAAGGACTACAGGACGAAGCTTTCAACTACTGAGAAGGACAGAATGAAGCTTAGAAGGTCAGCTTTTATCGTCCATCTTTCTCGGCATCTTGGTGCCCTTTTGTTTCGCTTGTATTCTTTTCACGGGAAGAGAAGGGGCCGAGATGAGGGGAGCGAGATGGATAAAAGCTGACGCTAACACAGAGCCGTAATCGCATCCGTCAACAAAAGTGAGGCTCCAATACCCAAGCCTGTCAGGCGGAAGGCCGCCGATTTGAAAGTATTATACTCAATATAGACATGAGAAAATCAAAATTGAAACTCTTTCTTGACAGTGTTAGGTACTAGGCTTCCAAGTAGCATGACAGAAAGCTCTAATATCATAGTGTTAGAAGGTAGACACATTTCTTTGTCGTGTAGTGTGGGTTTAGGTTTACGTTAGTTTTGCTTTATTCGCTTCAGCTGCCCGAATTGAAAGAGCTGCTGAAGACGCTGAAGCTCAAGTGCACGGGTAATAAAAATGAGCTGGTGGAGCGTGTTCCGGAGGACGCTCTAGATGCTGAGTACAATACGAAGCTACAGGCTTACGACGAACGGGTGCAAGCGGCGAGACAGCGCAAACAGAACGCACAAAACGATCCGGTATATCTGTCTGTAGTCGACAATATCAGGAGAGTGTGCATGGGATCGAAAGCCACGAACACGTCAACAAGCGTTGGTGGCCCGGCCTCGTCCTCGACTGCAAAAGCATCTTCACCAATGCTAGCTGCGACAGCTCCTCCTGCAAAGAAGAATTATGGTTGCTGGATTCTTTGATTAAGTACTTTGTTGTTGTTGTTGCATCATCCGGCCATCTATCATGCTCACTTCAACATTAGAGCTAGAACTTTATAATATCCGGAACTTTACATCCTTATCCAGAACTTTTTATGCAAGGAGCAAAGCCAAAGGTAAAGACTCTTTTCTTTTGACTTATAAAAGTGTTATTTTTTTTTCATAGTGGGCGGCGTGCAGCTGCAACATCCCCTGGAGGAGGGTCCTCTTCGTCCTCCGACATATCGATTTCCTCTTTGAGCGGAAAAGGTGCATCCGCGGCAACTTCATCCGCGAAAAAAGGTGCGAAGGCTGGAGGGAAGGGAAAAGCTTCGTCGCTCAAGACTGCTTCCGGTACCCTGCCTGTGATCAAACAGAATGGGAGTACTTCTTCAAAAGGAGCCACCACGTTGAGTAAAGGACCATCTTCAAGTCCGAAGATTGCCAAAGGTGCAACTGCCACATCAAGTAAAACAGCGACTACGCAGATGCCCCAGAGTGCAAAAGGCACTACGACATCAAGTAAAACAGCGTCTTCGAGTTCCAAGACTGCTACGTCAAATAATAAAGGTGCAACTACTACTAGTGCAAATTTAGGTAAAACAACGGCGATGAAAGCAGCTCCGACAACGTCACCATCAACTGCTTCTTCCAAGGGAGGCACCGGGAAGGCAACTGCCTCCTCCAAGGGAGGCACCGACGAGAAGCCAACGCCAACCACAGTGACACAAGGAGGTAAAAAAGGTGCGAGAAGCAAGACCGCTGCTTCGGAGCCGTCGCCGCAGCTGATGAAAGGCCCTTTCGATGAAGGATCTAGAACGGATAAAACTGATGTAGGCAAGGACACGACTGCAAAAGAAGTGCTGGAAACGGACACTGCTGGACAAACTGTGCTCGGCAAAAAGGACGTTGCTGTTGAGGCTAAGGCAGAATCCGCGCAGATAGCAAATGGTGCTGGAGCCGCCGCATCAAGCCTCAACAACACACTTGTCAAAGAGCAGTTTCCTAGCAAATCGCCGAAGGCCGATGAAGGGACGATGCTGGGAAGAGAGAAGCTCGCATCTTCAAATGCACGCTCTAATGCTGTGAAAGACGAGGACAAACGCGCAGGACCCACTGGTGATGCAGGATCTACTAGTGGTACCAAAACCGACGCACCAGGACAAGCTGATAAAAAGAGCACCAAAAATGATCATGACGTTCGAGGTGTCTTTCCCTCTTCCGCGCCAGGTAAGAAAGGCGCAGGAAACGCTCTTACAACCGGCGATGCAGAGGGAAGGGCCGTTCCTTCCACGAAGCCGAAGGCTGCACCTCACTCTGCCACTCTAGCCACTGCTAGCAACAAACCAGATGCTGTTGCTGGAGGGTCTACTTGTGCGAAAAATTCTTCGAAGAAGCAGGATGGGCTGGAGAGGGGAGCGCCGAGTGGTGCTGAAGCGACAACTGTGGGAACAACATCAACTGTGGGAACAAACCCTTTTCATGTCGCATCAAACAACCCGTTTGAGGTCGAATCAAGAAACCCGTTTGATACGACAATTAGTAACTGGGATCTACCAGGTTCGCCCTCTACTGGTGATGTTGACAAGACGGGCTTCGATTTCCATCTCCAACGTGCTGCTGTGCCACAGCAGCACGTTTTGCATCCTTTTCACGACAATAAAGCCAGCATGGCACGCGGCATCCCGTTAGCCGGGATGATGATTGGTCTGAAAGTAGTACTGCGTATCGACAGGCATCATCCTGATTCTGATTCTGCATGAGCAGAAAAGTGCCACTAGCTCGAGCGGAAACTCCAGCGCAAAGTCCACAGCCACGAGCTCAAACGGAAACTCGAGCATAAACACAGTGGCTCCCAGAAGTACGTACAGAGGCAATAACGTCGAACCCAAAAGAACTATACCGTCCGTGTCGACTTCGTCTCTCTTTCAAGGTGACTTCTACGAATCAGAGCTTTGGCTGGCGGAATTAGTTGGTGGATGTCCCGACGAAATGGCATTGCATAGTCGGGCATTCATTGCTGCACTCGTGCTTTTTGTTACCCAACTCTGTACAGATTTTTTTCTGGACGTCCGAATCGCCCGCAAGCAAATCCAGGAGAGGAGAAACGCTGCAAAACAGAAGCGCTATGGGAATATATCGGAGAATGGGACGAAGCTTGGTTCAACCTCCTTTTGTTTACGTGTAGTTGCGGCTGTGACCTGGTATTAGAACAAGGTTTCCCCGCCGTATGTTGTTTAATTGTCTCTCGTGGGGATTCCCGTAATTCCCCGAAGTTGAAAGCTGGTAGTGATTTGCTATCTGAAAGGGAAAATATTTGATTAGACTCCAAGTTCCCGCTCGTGCTTTCAATTGTCCTGTGTAAAAGTTCGATAATCTTTCGTTGGATCAGATATTCATAGCCGCCATTCGCAATATGATCATGATATGGATTTCGCCCGTGACAAGGACAAAAACAGCGTGAGTTCTTCTGGAATTCAAAACAGATCATGAAAGGTTTGCACCAACTGCATTGCATGATGAAAACACATTTTGTTGTCGGAGGTTCTACTTTCGTGGTGGAGGTCGGAGTCTTTCTGACCCCTGCCCTTGGAACTAAAGGACGACTTCACTCAGTCATAGTTACTCTGATCTGCGTGGTGCATACTGTTGACTCTGATTCTTCGAAGATACCTCTGTTCATTTACGAGAAGGAAAAATCTAAAGATCAATTTGGAAAGATCCGGTGATGTTCCAACGGTCCGAGGATCCAAAGATCGACACAAGTGAGGTCTTCATGATCTAATACGAGAGCCCTTTTTACAAGGATCCAAAGATCTAGAGAGTTCAAGTTGTACATCTGACAGTGTGAGGATGATATATTAATTCGGTCCACGAATGATCCAAAGCACAGATATCATGTTCCAACAGTGGCGACGTCTCTGAGGCTATGATCGATTTTTTGAATTTTTTCCAGAATCCAAAACGAAATCCAAACGAACAGATCAATTTGCGGCGTCCCACGACCCTCTTGCATGCGAATTTATTGCACGATTTTTCTGAATACTTGGATCTAAATCTTCTTGTGCTCTGGTAAGGTGAAATTTCCACGACTCTGTGATCTAAAGACCAGGATTTTATCCGACGAATCGAAATCGAATCGACGACTAGAAAAAGCTATACAAGTTGAATCAGAAGATACCTACGTAGAAGTCTATCTTTTTCATTTGACGACATTTGAATTGGAAACTCTTCTTTGCCTAAAGAATCTAAAACCTATTCGCGAATTATAATAACCTACCGTTTTCTCATCAAATCCTTAATCCAATAAGCCCACTCGCATACTAAACAGGACCCAGACTAGTTGTCCACACGCTAAAAGTTGTGACCTAGTCTTTGCTTGCTAACACCGCATTTGCATATCTCTTGAATACTTTGGACTTTTAACAGTCTTTTGCATAAAAACCACAAGATGGAGGCTATCATCGCTCAGATTAACGACAAGAAGACCTGCGAAGCAGGCGTCAAGGCTCTGCAGGCCACTATGGATGGCACGAAGCCGAAGCTGATCGAGGCTCTTGCCGCGATCCCGGCTTTGATGGAGGCTGTCGCCGGAAAGGACAAGGCTGGTGCAACGGTAGGATTTTTTTAGATAAGGCTTTTTCAGATTTCCCAAATGGAATTTTTTCGAGATTTAGATTTATTTTTGTCGGCGGAACGAGATGTTGGTAAAACACAGCGATGGAAATTTCAATGTGGATGCATGGGGCTTAGATTCATGGATTTAGATTTTTACGGGGATATTCGAACTGTCCGCTGCTGACTGGCGGGACTCATATTCTGGCTTCAAATTTTGAAATCTAAAACTCAATACAGCTCGCCGAGAAGGTTGTTCGTGAGATCTTCGGCACTGTCGATGAGTGGTCTGCATCCGTCACCCTGAAGACCTTGACCTCTTCGCTCGAGGGCAAGGCCAAGCCGGCAATGAAGGAGCTCGCTTGCGAACTCATCACCGAATTCGCCGCCAAGCACCCGAAGGTAATAGCGTTTAGATTAGGATTTAGATCCGGATTTCCGAGGTCAGCTCCTGAATTAGAATTTTTTTAGAATTTTTATCGAGATCGAGTGGATGATCCAGAGTGATACGTTTATCCTTCTCCTACCAAATGTCCTTACTCACATCTCTCCCATTCTCCTTCATTATCGACCTCCACAGGCTTTCGCTCGTGAGATCGAGTGGATGATCCAGAGTGTTGTGCTGCTCATGAACGACATCAAGGCTTCCGTCAAGGCCAAGGCTAAGGAGTGCCTCCTGAAGATGTGCTACACGTGCGGTAACAAGGATTTGATCGGATCTGATGAGGGCGCCACTGTCTACGCCGAGTCCTTCATCCCGACCATCATCAAGGCCAACGAGTCCTTGAAGAACGTACTTTTTTTTTATCTTGCCTAGTAGAAACCTGCACAGCTGCGTATGCAGAGTGTGTCGTTGTTGTTCGAGACTATTGTGATTCGAAAGTTGTTAAACTCCAATCAAGGTCGAAGAGTGCGTCGAGAAGCTCGCTGGTTGCGTCTTTGTCCAGAACGTCGAAGCTCCCCACTTGGCCGTTATCACTCCGGTGTTGTGGCGTGGTCTTAACACCAAGTCCGAACAGTGCCAACGTCGCTGCTGCGTCATCGTCGATAACATGTACTACTATGCTTGTTGCCTCTATCGTCAGTTTTGATGTTGTGATGCTTCCAACTTTCCTCATACTGTTGCTCGATTTCTTGTTTTTTCAGTTTCTTATTGTATTGCACTCTACAAAGGGAGTGGGCGCAATATAGGTAATTTGGGCAGAATTCCAGCGGATTGCGTTTTTTTCATGGACGTAAAATCCTCCTAATGCATCTGCAAGAGTAAAACTAGCGAGTTCACCCCTCCCTTCCTATTAGATATCAGTGGGATGGAGGTTCTTATCGTATGGACAGTCATATGGACATCTAAATTTGGATGATGTGATATTGATAGATCTAGATTCGGCAGAATTCCAGCGGACTGCGTTTTCTTCATGGACGTAAAATCCTCCTAATGCATCTGCAAGAGTGAAACTAGCGAGTTCACCCCTCCCTTCCTATGAGATATCAGTGGGATGGAGGTTCTTATCGTATGGACAGTCACGTATGGACATCTGCATCTCGACTGCCAGCGATGCCTCATCCGGCCCGTAGTAGGCGTTCAATTATGTTCGCGCCGGCATGTCACTTCTTAGTGAAGGCAATTTCATGCCACTTCTTCGTGAAGGCAAAATTTCTAAGTGTAACTCTCTCTCACCTCTTTCTATCATAACTCTCTCTCACCACCTTCAATCAGGTGTAAGCTCGTCGATGATCCACGTGAGGGTCAGCCGTTGTTCCCCGAAATTTTGCCGTTGGTCAAGCGCCGAGCTGAGGAAACGTCCGACCCGGATTGCCGTGAGATGGCTGAGAAGTGCCTTGCCACCATTACGAAGCTCCAGGTACTGTTCAATCTTGTTCTTTACCTTCTTCTTCTGAAGTGGTAGATGTTCCGTCCGAGTCGTTTTCCTCGTTGAGAAGATGTGATCGCAGAAGCAGTAGATGTATGAAGCTTACGACAGAAGATATACTTTGCCGAAGATGTAGCGTATGTGATTGCAGAAGCAGTAGATACTCTTTTGATGAATTTGTAGTGCATCTTTGCCAGAAGGTTTCTGGACGTAAAATCTTGTGAATCCTTGGGTGTTCCTGAAAATAGGTACCGGTTGAAAGTGAGTCGACAGCACAAGTTCTAGTGGACCCAACTTTCTTTCTCTATTCACGACCTTAATAATATCCTTATTTTCTCCATCACAACTCAAAACAGTCCGTTGGCCCGAAGCCGGAGTTGGACTTGAAGGAGATCGCAGGAAAGGTCTGCGCTCTGCCGGCTATGTCTGAGGAGGTGGCCACCTACCTGCAGAAGGTTACCTACGCCATGAACAAGGCCAACTGCTACGATTTGTCCTCCTGGACGACCACCCTCGCTCCGTTCGTCACCGACGCCAAGGCCGTCGAGAGCATCATGAACGAGTTGGCCAACGCTGGCAAGCCAAAGGAGGTTGAGTTCGTCGATGACTCCACGGACCCGGATCTGTACAAGGGATCCTTCTCCCTCGCCTACGGTACCCTCACGCTTCTCCGTGACACCAAGCTGCACTTGAAGAAGAACAAGTTCTACGCTCTGCTCGGACCGAACAACTGCGGTAAGACCACCTTGATGCGCGCCATCTCCAAGGAGAAGGTGGAGGGCTTCCCGAAGCGTGACGAACTCGTCACGATCTTCGTCGAGCACGAGGTCGAGGAGCGCATGCTCGAAGAGCCATCTAAAGAGTGGCCCACGGGTAAGTTCAACATCGATTTGAACGGTATGGAGTTCTGCGTCGACACCGTCAACAACGTGTACAAGAAGTCCCCGCCAATCACCCTCGCTGATGCGGAAAAGGAGCTCGGCATCATCGGTTTCAAGAACAAGGCCAAGGGCGTCAACCTTAGGGTACTATATCCGATAGGATTTTTGCCTCCATCGTGAGTCAAGATGGACTTGCCAGTAGCATTTGGCTCTTCTACCTGCATAGCAAGTAGGCCTGCTCGCTCACGGGTGACGGTTTTCAAATTCTTGATGTGTGCAAATATTTAGAGCACCAGAATTTTTTTTGACTCAAATCCAACGCCTCACAATCCAAAGTAAACCTTCTTGCCACCATATGAAACAGGCCGCCGCCGATATGTGCAACCCGATTACCACTTACTCTGGTGGTTGGAAGGTGAAGATGCAGCTTGCCTGCGCTAAGCTCATCGACGCCGATATTTTGATGCTTGACGAGCCCACTGGGCATTTGGATGTCAAGAACATTCAGTGGATGAAGGACTGGCTCAATGCCTTCCCGGGATCCATCATCGCCTCTTCCTCCAACTCCACCTTCTTGGACGAGATGATCACGCACGTTATCGATTTCCAGGTACCTTTTACTTTCTTTTCAGCAGTTAAAGCTGTCTTTTCAGCAGCTCTGATACGGTAGGTATTTTAAGTGTCTCACATATCCCATCCCATCGCGATGAGCCACCACTATGAGCCCTTCAACTGAATAGGATCGTTTTCACCTCTACAAACTTAGACTTATCCCATGCAGCCAATCACTTTAATCACTACAGGACCGCAAGCTTGTCCAGTTCAAGGGAGAGAAGGGATCCGTGTTGACTGAATTCGTCACTGCCTTCCCGGAAAAGAAGTCGTACTTCGAACTTTCCAACAAGAACGTCAAGTTCGTCTTCCCGCCGCCGGGCCCTCTTGAGGGTGTCAAGTCCAAGGGTCGCGCCATCTTGAAGATGAACAACGTCAACTTCAAGTATCCGACTCACGACAAGTGGACTGTCCAGGTACTCACTTTAGACAACGACTACGACTGTTTAGATTGACACTTCGGGATCGCCTCTTCCTAGATTCTGGATCCTCAGATTGGAGGCCCCTCTTTAGATTCACATGTTCTTTCAAATTCCATCACCTCACAGGACATCACGCTTTCCGTCTGTATGGCTTCGCGAATTGCCGTGATCGGTGCCAATGGAGCCGGTAAGTCCACCGCCATCAAGTTGCTCATCGGTGAGTTGAAGAACGAACACGGAACCATCTGGAAGCACTCTGGTATGCGGTTGGCCTACGTCGCTCAGCACGCCTTCCATCACTTGGAGAAGCATTTGGATAAGACCCCGGTCCAGTACATCCTGTGGCGTTTCGCCGGTAACGACGATCGTGAATCCCTCGAGAACCAGACCAACGAAGTCAACGACGATGAGGAAGCTCTGCGATTGGTCAAGTGGTGCGTGGATTCCAAGTCCGGTGTCGTGCGTAAGTGCGTGCCAGGCGAGAAGGGCGATATCCCGGTGGTGCCGGACACCATCTTGAACCGTCGTAAGAACAAGCAGAAGAAGTACGAGTACGAGACCAAGTGGATGTACAAGCCGATCGAAGGTGCCTGCTGGGTCGAGCGTGACACGCTCAGGGCAATGGGCTACGAGAAGATGGTCTGCCGTGAAGATGAGAAACAGGCTGCCGCTGCCGGTTTGATGAGCAAGCCGTTGACGGCGCCGTCCGTCGAGAAGGAGTTGAAGAACTTCGGTTTGGATGCGGAAGCCGCCTCCTACTCCCCGATTCAGTCCTTGTCCGGTGGTCAGAAGGTGAAGGTCGTCCTGGCAGCAGCGATGTGGATGAACCCGCATATTCTCATCTTGGACGAACCGACCAACTACTTGGATCGCGATGGGTACTTCTTACTTTGCTTGCTGTTATTCGGTTATATTATGCCGTTTTTGATCTGACTATTGGATTTGCAGGTTTTTTTCACTGCTTCTTGTCGAGTCCATTTGTCCTCACATAGCACTTCTACATCTTGTTCTCCTTGAAAACCACACCACACTACCACCTTCCCCCAGGACCTCCTCTCACCAATCGATCCAAAAATCTCAGTCTCGGTGCTCTCTCCCTCGGTTTGGTCGACTTCGGCGGAGGTGTTGTGATCATTAGTCATAACATGGAATTCGCAGAGAAGGTGTGCACCCAGAAGTGGATTATGGAAGCCGGTCGCTTGCGCGAAGAGGGTGAGCTCGTCGTCGATGACGATGATTTCGCTGACACTAACGCCCAGCCAGACGAGATCGTCGATGCCAGCGGCAACAAGATCGCAGTCAACAAGGTCAAGTTATGCCTCACAGGATCATGGACTCTGCATTATATATACGCTTCACAAACTGCTCTTTGAATTCTTCGATATACTTTGGACCCTCGATTATATTCCTTCTATTATCTCATTCGCTCTTCCAATATTAGTACGGCTACTAGTTTTCCCTTCGATTGCCTTGTGTAGTTGAGAGAAAATAGCCCAGCACACAGGGCCTGTTCTTCCGCCCATTCCCTAGCTCAGAAAATTCTCGTTGATTGCCCAACTTCTTTTTCCCATCTCCTTTTCCCATCTCCTTTCCCTCCTCTAATTTGTACTATGTCCGACAAGGATCGTAAGAAGGCTATCAAGGAGATCGAGAAGAAGCTGAAGGACCATAAGAAGAAGAACACCCTCTCCGATGCCGAGATGTGGGAGTTGCAGGACAAGCTGGCCGAACTCAAGACCGAGATGGGCGCTTAAGAGGAGTTTGGAGCGGAGCTTCATCGGAGTGTGTAGAGTCAGAAGGACTCTGCTACAAGGCACATTCTAAGCCTGCTCATTGGACATATTTATTATAGGTGTTATTCAACTTCTTTTTTTTGCGTCGAATTATGATGGATGATCTCATACCGATAGTACTAGCTGTATAACATGAGTTCTGATAAAGAAGTACGCGTAGTATCCACGTTTAACGTAAGGTAGATGCGTCTTGCGCCACTTTTAGCGTAATGCTTGTAAGACAAGAAACTACTCATGATATTACGACAAATAATATGTGCATTGGATTTTTTCACGAATGGATGAGTAACTACATGTGAAAATAAGGGGATGTAACATGACTGTTTATTGGCAGGAAATGAAAAAGGTGGCTTTTACAAGGGTCTTGGATGAACAGGACCCAACATAATATGCAACAACATTTCGTGGGGGTGGCAACTAATCAGCGGTCATAATCAGTTATACTTTTTTCCAATATTAAGATCACGAACTTTGATAGATTTAGAAGAAATTGCATGAAGACAGCAAGTCATCTCTACTCTGTGGAACACATGGAAACCACGTGTCCTTTTTCCGCGATCTATGTTCATTTTTATGATCAACATAATTTTCTATGGGGATCTGAAATGTACAGTCAAAAATTGGCGCCGTCTAGGGGGAACTGAAGGAAATTCAGCCAAACACAGTGCTATGCTTATTTCTACTGCTACTTGAGAAACAAGTTGTTGAGAAAGAACGTTTCTGTGGTGATAAATATCTAGATAGGCCTTCCGATTTTCAAAAACATGAATCCTTGATGTTAAAGAAGATGCACTTGAGCAAAAATAAGAATGAAAAAATAAAAGCTTGAAAGCATAACTACGAACACAACCAACTAGCTGAGTCCGTGACCCAGTGAAGGAAGGCACTACAGTTGGCATCGTGTTGGGCTGCAGTTCGCGCAGATGGAACTAATTCTATCGTGTTTTGAGATTGAGTGGAGTTAGACCCGATGCGGTTGTCTGCCAGATTTTTGAATGTCCGAACTGAAAGTTGAGAGAAGCCATTGCCAACCCTCAACCCCCCTGGAATCCTTGAGAAGTTCTGTGTGATACTGTAGTACTGGACAAGTAGCGTAGGGCTCCAGAGCGTTTTTCGTAGTCTATCAGGGTCTTAGCGCTCGAACAATAAAAAATGTACCAGCCCGTTTACCACACGCAGCATGCCCCTGAATGGTACCACCAGCAACATCAGCCGAGCGGTCGTCTCAGGCACGGGTCAAACCTCCTGTATATTATGGATTCGTAGAAGTAACCCTCTCGAATTATTTCTTTAAGCCAACGGTCTAATTTCTGATACTAGGCAGAACCCTTCATCTGATATAATCAAGGTATTAACGTCTTCGCAGTCACATCTTCACCTACTGTTATTTCCTGAAGGTTCATCTTGATGCCTGTGAAGAAGTGCACTGTTGAGAAGCAGCCACATTTTGGCGATTCGTATCTCTAAGAATATTTGCAATTTACCTGGCGGCGTGCAGGCGCAGGACCTTGTGCCGAAGTTGACGCTTTACGGATGTGTGGAGCACTTAAGCCTCAGTGACGTGGAAGCTAAGAGAAGGAATCGTAAGGAAGTTCTCGTGTGTCATTTCGTACCTTGTGTGGAACGACCTCTTGCTAGGCAAATGAGTGAATGAATGGGTGAATCTTTTAAGACCAAAAAACGTTTTAATGGTGTCGCTCGCTCTCTAACACGAGCACCAGCGATATTCCGAGTTACGCGTTTGTGAAATTACACTCGCGTCATGCAGTAAGTGCAGCGGTTCGCGGGATGAACGGTCTGCCTCTCTCGGAGCTCTTTCCCGAAATGACCGGGAGACAGAAGAAACTGTTATGATTTGGTGGGAAATCGCTATCTCAGAGACTGGATGATGCTTTAGTCAGTAAGGTGAAATGAATGGGACTTTGTATACCTTTTTGGAGTATTACTAATTCGACGGGCTTGGGAATTACTACTTAGACGTTTAATACGAGCACCTGTTGTTTTATTTCCTCCAACAGAGCTCTCTTCGACGGCAATCCGGGTGTGTAGAGCAACCGGCCAGGCTGACTTCAAAACGCCAACCATCTACAATCCTCAGTGGTCCGAGCATATTTCACCAGATGGGACGTCGTATCCTTTACGTTTTATGTTTCATCGGCCACTTCTAGGCATCCTTGCGATGGTAAGACTTCACCTCCTGTAGGACAGTTGTACTCTGCTGGCTCTCCGACGTCGCTTTTGCATGCCTACTACAAACCACTTCTTTTATTTTTCAGGTATTATTACGATTGTTGGTCTGCCGAATCAACATGGACGTTGCCACCTGTATTAGGAATTCAAGCCAATCACGCATTAAGCGCTGATCATCCGACGATGAGAAGGTAAGCATTAGTACATTCATTCATTCATTCATTTACCTAGCACGAGGTGTTGTCAGAAACCTAATTAGGAGTCTTTTTTACTAACTCCGGTAGAGAGTTAGCAAGTCGAAATAGGTCAGTATTAGAGACATTACAGTGGTCATGAAATCGACCTAATTAGGCATTTGTTAGCGCAAAAGAATCAAGTCCTATTTTGATGTTCCAAAACCAGGCATGGCCGGATATTGGATGCCTCGTCAATCGAAATCTTAAGGCTTCAGCTGAGTATTGTAGAAAGGTGGAAGATCCAGAATTTATAAGGAGATGCACGTTTTGAAGAAGATTCATATAAATCTAAATCAATTTATCAGAAATGACGTAAAACACTACTTAATTTCCTAGAGTAACAACACGATGTCGGATGCTGGATTTCCTAGATATCTCAGCTAACATCTACAGATCACATGTCCTCAAGTGTGCAAGGGGAAAGGAAACATGATTACCCGAGGATGCAGGTCAAACTGTGGACGGTGAATCAAATCCTATCCTATCCTAAACATTATATGCTACTAATAATCGAGGGAGCGGAGAAGCAGAGCGTGTTTGTCTGCTGTCTGCCCTTGAGCTGGTCAGCGGCAACCCTGCGGAATCGAGCTCAGATGTTCGGCCAAGTCGTCAAGGCAGTAGTGCAACGCGACGAATACGAACAAAGTTTATGGTTGATGTCTGTACCTGTGTGTCTCTATTTTAGACTCCAGGAAAGGAACGAATCTACGATCAAGAAAATGAGTAGAGTGTCTTCATGTCGCGAGCTTCGCTAATCTTATGCCTCTTCGGATACATTGTGCTCACAACAGCTGAGGACGCGGAGAGGTGTGCCAGAGAACTACACAACAGATTCGAGGACGGAAAGACCCTGATTGCCGAGAAAGTCACTCCACGTGTTTGAGCGAATGGGGAGGAGGTCGCTGACCAAAAAATCCGTTTTTAGTCGACTGAAGCCAATTTGAATGTTTGACCGACTGGAGGGAATCATTTTTTGACCGACCTGAGACGCCAATTGACTTGTGGTCGACGGGATTAAGTGGGTTTTCAATCGCGAGGGGCCAGGGAGTTGTTTTCGGACGGGATCCGATCAATTTTTGATCCACTGAAGCCAAAGTGAATGTTTGACCGAGTGTTTCACCGAATGCGGTTTGGGTGAGAGCATGTGTTGAATGACGCAGTGCCTGTTGAAGCTGAAAAGAGCAGAGGTCGGACTCTTGTACAACATGGTTGCTCCTCTCTGTCTGGTCAAGAAAGCAGCTCCTTCTATGCGGCTTAAAGTCAAATGCTAATTAAGCCCAACAAGAATTGATAGATAAATAGTCAAAGCTTTTCGTAATTGCAATGCGAGGGTAAGGCTCTGCATCTAATTTGTTCGAAGTCCTAGCTAGGCATTCTGTGTGACAGCTCTAGCTAGGTCTTTTGCTCGTTCGCATAGATTGTAAAGTCAGGCACAGGGACTAGACAGCACTTGTTGCATCGAATATAGCCTGCAAAGCATCGCTTTTACTACTCTGAGAATACAGATGATTTTGCAAAGCAAGGGTACCTAAAGCTACCACATCTAAGCTCATCTTTTGTACTCCAATATTTGTCTTGAAGATTTGATGGTTGTCACTAGGATGCAACGGATCTTCTACTTTTCAATATGATGCTTCATCTAGTCGTGGATTTATGTAATTATTGAAGTCAGTTCGTAGAGAAAGGTTGTAGCTGTGGTTCGTATCCTAGGTAAATTTCTGGATCATTGTCTGCATAAAGTCTATATCGCGGTCATTATCGCCGTGTTACAGAATCAGATGCATTTTGTCATGCGTTGTGCGGGACTACCCTGTGATATAGCAAGGTAGGACTCGTCATGGTCAAAGCTGGGATGAAAGGTGGTAACAAGAAGGGCCATGATTGATGCAACACTTCCGGAGTGTGTTCGTTGCATTTTTGGGATGGAGACGGGAAGGATGCTCTGAGGGCTTGATCGCATTGAGATGCACTTGCGGAAGTGTGGTGTGGGAAAAACAGATGAAAAGTGAAGGTCAAACTCCAAGGGGGACAGTGATGTGCTGATTCTACCGGACTTGGCTCGACGCCCTTGTCGGATCGCAGTGTCTGCGCAACAAAGAAGTCCAGAAACATAGGCCCTGCTAGCCGAGAAAAGCCGAGAAAGTGAAGCTACACTTTTTACTTGTACATCACATTTTACAAGCACTCTAGGTGGAAGGAATACATAGTCAACACAACATGATGATGCCGTCTTCCTTGCCTTCGTCGCCGTCTGATGACGAGAGCTCGGGAAAGCCGTTGGAGACTTGGGGTACGTCAGAAGTTGCAACTTCAACGGTGAGAAACACGACAAGTTCACAACATCACCCACTGGCGTTTTACATCCAAGGAAAAGCTGTATCGTTCTCACCGGAGATCAGCCGTATTCATGACATGGCCCAAGCCCTTACACCAGATTTGCACTCTTCGCCCTTGCTTGAATTCGAAGCGGCGAGCCTCGAAGTCGAGTCGTTGTCCAACTGGGGGTCGCAACTAGTGGAGCTAAAGGGCCCTCTGCGCGAGTGGCAGGAGTACCTGGAGAACAAAACATCGCACCAATCGAACAGGTGCAAAAGCATCTGCTCTGGCAACCCCTTCTTCGAACCCTTTGCGACTTGAGTACACTTTCATTGGAGATGATTAATTGAAGCCCAGTCGAAGTTTCCGAAACACCCAGGTCCGCTGCGACAGTAGAAACGGACCCCCGCAACTCTTTCGCCGGAACACTCTACTTCATTCGCGCGATACCGCATCTACTTCATTCTGCGACACCGCCGAGGACTTCAAACGTGCCCTCGTGGTGAATAAGGGACTGGATGCGAAGCAAATCCGACTTTATCGGTCTCGTTGGAACGGAGATCTTCGCCAGCAACGAGACAATCAGCGAGAATTTGTACAGCCTTCTAGGACACAAGAGATCAGACACACCCTTGGAGCAGTTCTGCAAGGAATACGTCTGGAACATCGATGTAGAGGCAAGTGATGAGGTGGTCCGTGGCGTTTTTTCCAGGAGTTTCCTTTCCACGACAAAGATGTCAAAGAGATGAAAAAGGCACTGATGGAGGACATCGGCAGCGAGGACGACTTGCTCTTCATTCCTAAAAACCCAAGCCTCGAAAGATGCGGGGCGAAGCAACTAGTTTCCCTTCTCCCAAGGAAGGAAGTGCAAGAACGCGGCGTCATTTTTGGGCGCTCCGGCTATCGCTACGCGTCATTTGTTGTGGTGAGGGACGCTTTGCTTGTCAATGTGCACCTGGCATACGATCTTTCCTATAGCCGATGAAAAGGAGATTCACGCTCTTCTTGGTAAGGAGGCTTCCTCCAAGCAGTCCCGGGGAAAGAAAGCGGTCGCGGGCGCGATCGGCCAGGCGATACTCAACCACCTTCGTGATCCCGAGGGAAAGAAGGTGTCCGAAATACACGAGCTGCTCAGCGAGGTTCTCCGCACGAAGGAGACACTACGTCCCACCATTTCCTCAGTTATCGTCATTGGAGACTTGAACTCCCAAAAGGAGGACTTCGAGGTGGCGGCGAGAGAAAAGGGCTATAATAATTTAAATGATCGCGCTTTTCGGATACTTAATCAGGTTGTGGTCTATCCCTCTGCGAACAAGTGTCATGGAAGTTGTGATGATATGACCTTCGTGAAGCTATCTATTCATTGAATGCAGCAAAGGGTGCGCTCCAGTCTATCGCGGTTCCACCTAGTGAAGCAACGGATCACAAGCCGCTTTTGCTGCAGATTCGCGTTTCGCCGACGCCGACCAAGATTCGCTGGCTGCCGACCACCTGGCCCGAAGAGCGGTGTCTCCAATCTAAAGTGGCGCCCCGCTTGCGGGAAGAAGGGTTGGCGATGAAGCAAGCAGAGCTAGCGTCAAAGTTAGCTCTTTATAACGAACCGGCTGGAGTGCTGGACGAGCTTTGGGAGTATTTGCGCAGTTGCGATGCCGAGAGCGAGGGCGCCGAATACAAAAAGTGCCCGAGGTTCATCGAGTGCAAAATCTGATATGAAATTGGGGTCGTGGCCTACCTTGTTTGCCTCATTATCTGATCAAACAAATATTTTTTTAGTTTTTGGTGAGTACTAACTTGTGACCTGGCTAACTGGTCCAGACTGAGTAGTACAATGCTGCGTCGGTCGCGTTGTCGTGTATTCATTCCTTTACCTCGTGCTAGGTAAATGAGTGAATGAATGAACCCAGGAGATAGACAGCGGATTTTGAGTCTAAATGTTAGAAGCTAGAGTTGTAAATATTTGGGCAGGTGGAAGGGCGAAAGGGGTAGGCTATTCACGCGTCATATCTGTTCACAGGCAAAGTCTCGCACGAGCTACCCTCGCGAGCCTCGCAATCTCGACACGCAGTGTTTTGGCCTCTTGAACTGTTGGAACTGTGATACGTGGTACGGATCGAGGCTCTTCACCAGGGAACACATCAACAACAGGTCACTACAGACCACAGCTGGAGAACGGAACCGCGTAGATGCCTCCTGCCTCAACTGCAGAACTATAATGAAGGGCCTTCGTAATGGTACGAAGTTAGACAAGAGATTGATAAAGAGAGAAAGTGAGGCAGATCGCAAACGATGGACAACCAGGCCTCGAACTACTTAGATTCCAGGCCTTGCTTAGCTATTTAACTCCCCAAGTCATTATCGCGAGGCACGCCCCGGGCAGGAGGCAGAGAGAGACCACGAGCGCGCGGGGGAGCGGTGGCGCAAGCGCCACCGGGCTCCCCGGTGGTGTGTCGCTGCTTGGTAGTACTCTCGGACACCAAGCAACGACACACAAAGAAAAAGAGAAGAGCCGTCGAAAGTGTTCGACGGTGTTCGGCTCGTGCGCGAATGTATGAAAGAGTCAGGAAGTAAGAGCAAGAGAGAAAAAAGCAATCTGTTGAGAAGGTAGAAAAAGCAATCTGTTGAGACAGTCAAGCGACGAAAAAAACAAGACGAGGAACGAGCGGCAAGGCAATCTGTGGAGTGTAGCGGAGAGCTTTCATCTGTAGGCTGAGGCGGCCAGTAGGCTAGCGAGGACCATGGTGGAGCTCTGGTAGCGCCGGCAGGACAGCCGAGAACGAGAAGAGGAGAGAAAGGGGAGAAAGGTGAGACAAACAAGAGCAAGCAGGAGCAAGAGAAAGACAGAGAAAGAGGAAGAGGGGCCACCTGTTGAGGTGTCAGCACTCTGGTGAGACAGTGGAAAAGAGTGAGAACGAGGAAGAAGACGAGGAGAAGAAAGGGAAGACGAAGGCGCCGCAGGGGTTGCGACCTTGTGGGGCGTCTGGTCTTGCTGGTTAAATATTTATTGGGCATTTCGTTCAAAACGGCCCGCAGGACTACCCAAACGCCCCGCGGGTTTAACGTCACGCGGGGGCCCCCAGTGTCTCACATTTCTCGGCGGTTCCGTCTCCCCTGGCTCGTTTCGGGTGTGTGTTGCTCAGAATTTGGCCCGGAGCACTATCCAAACGCCCGACGGGTTTACCGTGGCGCGGGTGCCTTTAGTTTTTTACTTTTCGCGGCTGTTGCCGGTGTGTTGGTGTTCGGGTCGGGGGTGCCTGGGCGTACCCCGACCAGAATGGCCAAACATGGGCGCCACTGTAACCGCGCCGGCTGTTATTATAGCCGGGGCGGGTGTCTGTAGTTTCTAGCCTTGAGGAATTGGGTGCGGAGCAGTACCCAAATGCCTTGCGGGTTTACCGTCGCGCGGGTGCCTCTGGGTCTTCCACGCCTCTCGGCTGTCGCGTATTTGCTCGGTTGTTGTCTCCTTTGTATGTGGTTCAGAACTTGACCCGGAGCACTATGCAAACGCCCGACGGGTTTACCGTCGCGCGGGTGTGTCTGGTTTCTTCCATTTCTGAGCATTTTGATTGTGGTGCAAAGAAATCACCAAAATGATCCCGATCAAGACCGACGCAAGCGCCACAGAGATCCACAAAGAAAAGGCCCCCAAAGGACTGAGATCAAAAAAATGGCGTACGTTGTTCAGAACTTGACCCGGAGCACTATCCAAACGCCCGACGGGTTTACCGTCGCGCGGGTGTCTTTGGTTTCTCGCATTTCTGAGCATTTTGATAGCGGTACAAATCACGAAAATGATCCCGATCCAGATCGGCGCAAGCGCCACAGAGGCGCCCAAGGGACTGAGACCAAAATAGAAAACGGCGCGCGCTGTTTAGAACTTGGCCCGGAGCACTATCCAAACGCCCGACGGGTTTACCGTCGCGCGGGTGTGTCTGGTTTTTCGCATTTCTGAGCATTTTGATAGTGGTACAAATCGCGAGAATGATCCTGATCCAGATCGGCGCAGGCGCCACAGAGATCCACAAAGAAAGGCGCCCGCAAAGGACAGAGATCAAAAGAAGAGACGGCGCGCGCTGTTCAGAACTTGACCCGGAGCACTATCCAAACGCCCGACGGGTTTACCGTCGCGCGGGTGAACGTACAGCGCGGGGCGGTGTGAGGTCTTTGAAGGGAGTTTGGCTTCAAGGACCGGCCGCGCCGCGGAGGTGCAGCCCTCGCGGGGGAGCCCCTTCAAGGAACTGGCGAGCGGGTGGACGGCGCTGGAGGTGCTTGGGGCGTTTGAAATCGAGCCGGACGACGCTGACGCGCGGGCGTACGTACTGCCCCAGGGGCAGGGCGCTGCTGTGCTGCTTTCTCCTACCGAGATACGGCACACCTCGCCGGAGAGGTTCCGGGCGAGCGCGTGGGCCGATTTGGTCTACCGGCTGGATTCGTTTCGCCCGGTGTCGGCTCGGATGCTAGTGGGCCACGAAGGTCCAGCGGGCTCCGGTAAGAGCGTCGCGATGGCCAAGGCGTTGGAGTCCGGGCGGGGAGTGCGTTACGTCGTCACGCCTACGCGGTTCTTGCTGCGGAGCCTCGTGGAAACTTGGAGGAAGTTCGGGAAGCGGGGCGCGACGCTGGTAGTCGCCGCCACAGATACCGCCGCCATGGAGGACGTTTTCGAAGGCATGAAGCCGGAGGCGCAGCCGTGGAGCGTCGAAGCCTGCAAAGAATCAGAGCGGACGGCGGAGGCGTTGGAAGGTTATGGGGCTCGGCTGATTTCAATCCTTTCAAAAAACTGCGGCGATCGAGTGCGCGGCGTGGCCTTCAAGGGCAACGGCGGCGGCAGTTGGTGCGTAGTTATCTCCGCCCTTGTTCTTGGTGTCTTGCTTTTGGCCGCGGTTGTTGTTTTCGTGTCTTTCTGTTTCTGTCTGTGGTGCTCTCGCGTCTGTGGCTAGATGTTTCCGCTTCTGTTGTTGTTGTTGTTGTTGGTGTGGTGTGTTTCCGCCATTGTGAGCCTGGTTGGCGTTGGTGTCGTTGGTGTCGCGTGGCTTTGTCTTGTTGGAGGTTGTCGGGGTTATTGTCGCCATTTCGTGGCTGTTGTTGTGATTCTGTGCCATTGTGCTGACTGTGGTTGCGGTTGTCTTGTCTCGTGCTCGTGTTGTTGCCGTAGTGGTTATTGTTGGGCGCCCACGCTTGTGGGCTGTTCTGTCTGGTGCTTTCATTTTACTGCGGTTGGTGGTTGTTGCGTTTTGTTTTGCGTACGTAGTTTCATTCTCTTCGTGTGTTGTGGTGGCCCGTTTTCGTGTGCGGTGCGTTGTGTGGTTCGTGTCTTGTGCTGGGTTTTGGGCGTTTGTTTTGCTTTGGCGTTTTCTTGTGCTTTGCGTTGCTATTGTCGTGCGTGATGATGCTTGGCTTCGTTCGCATGCTGTTCCGTGTTTTGGTCGTGTATTGTGCTTTGGGGTGATTTCTTCGCGTGTTGGGCTTTGTGCTTGTTTCGTTTGCTGTGCTCTCTCTTGCTTCTCGTGTGTGTTTTTGGGTTTTTTCGCGTGTCGGGTTCTGCTCTTTTCGTGTGCTCGGCTTCGCTCGATTTCGAAGTGAACGGATTGAAATTTGGCGCCATTTATGAGCCTTTTCCGCGCGAGAACTTAGTGATTTTTGGGACGGCGGTCGCGGTGCAGAGGCTGGCCCGCCTTGCGCGGGGTTTTTGCGTTAGCCGCGTCGATGTGGATGAGGCTGCGCTGATTGACGCCGAAGCGTTCCGGCGTGTGGCGGGGGTGATGGACTCGACACGTGCCGAGGTGGAGTTGCATTGGTGGCATGATCCGCGTCAGCTCTCAGCCATGGGCGACGAGGAGCCGCTGGTCTATCGTTTGAAGCGACACAAATGCAAGGAGGTGCGGAAATGGTGGCAGAAGAACCTTGAGCGCAAGTGCGAGACGGCGCGCTTTACTCGGCAGCTGGCACACCAAATTAGCGCTGTTTTTTACCGTGGCACCATTGGGCCGAGTATGTCGCTGATGTTACCGCAGCGGCACTCGTTTTTTGCGTCGTGCTGTAACGAGTCGCTCAGCGGTTATCTTTGCAGTTCTGCTCCACGTCGCAGCGCCATTGCGTCATGAGGATCTGCAACGAAAGTGATCAGTTTCAATAAAATTATACTGATACACTATACGGGATTATACTTCTACGCCTACCTCCAATGCATAGAAATGGTCCCCCCGATTCAATGTCGCTGTCCTGAATTGATTCCCAAGCCTCAACGAAAAAGTATCTACTTGTCCACGCATCTTTTGATTACGCTAATATCTCATAATACACTCCTGAGAAACGACGGAAGGTGAGAACAAAGAAAGGCATTCTTGACACAACACTGACACAGTGTGTTCGCTGCATTCGTCGCGGAACGCAGACTGCAAGGGCAGAAAACTCGGCACTGGGAAGTCAGCATTGCGATTGGTGGCCTATATCTGCAGCATCCGTTTGATCTGTCAAAATGATCGGCATCCGAGAGTCCTGTTGCAAGGAGTGTCTGTCCCGAGAGGCTGGTAGAGTGGAGAGAAGTAGACCTGATCTGCTCATTCATTCCTAGTTGCTCATTCCCCGTCCTCATTTCCCGTCCTCTTCATGCCCCGTAGTCCATGTTCTCATTTTCGCGCAAGTTAACGTAAAATTGATTTCATTCTGTAGGCGCAGGTACTTTTGACCACTACTTATGGGTCCTAATTTAATAGCTCGTTTTTGGCATGTTGAATATCATTTAAGTAGTTATTCCAAAAAAACGAAAATTTAGGCTGCCACTCTGTTGTTTGATTTCCTTCTTGCTACATAAATTTCTAGTAGCTAATTATTTTGTATTTTGAGTTGTAGAGATATCGAAGATGGGTGGCTGTTTCAGTGATATGGAGAGCCATGATCGGCGGCGGTACCGACGGCAGCAAGACGTGGTGCTGATGCAGCCAATCCTGAACCTACGGCAAGAAACTTACGCATTCTTATCGGAATCAAAAATTTAGCTTACTGAAGAGTAGCACTACTAATGTTCAAAAGTTGTATTTTGTGCACTTACACAGTAGATCTATGCATTCACGTTTCTCAAGGATGAAACCGACCTTCCAGTTGCTCTTGCCTGATGATCAGACTCATATTTATCATAATCATTGATGAAAAGAAGCTGCAAAAGCATGTTCTTGATCTTTCTAATCATCGCACAGGGTCAAGTGGTTGGGCACAATCAAATAGCTGGAAGGATGGATGCGAATGGGCAGATAGTAACAGCAGACGGAACCCCAGTCGCCGCGGGTGGTCAGATGTTAAGGTGATAGTGCCGAAGTTTCAACGATGCTAGTACTATAAATAAGTAGGTGAAGTACGAGAGAGAAGCCCAAGTCCTGGTGCCTTGGGGTCGAGGTCAGATATCAAATGCAAAAACATAAACAACTCAGCCGATCTCAAAACCTGTTAGACCAATGCGTAGCAAGGAGGAAGCGACTGCATTTTTCGAAGCTCTGGAGGCAAGAGGACAAGAAACCGAGAAAAATGTCAACACAAAACGAGAAGGTGAGAGTACCAACAGTTCTATAATAAGTAGTGCGAGGAATCATACATAGGTAGTAGCAGTACCAATACTCTCGTTCCAAAAGAACTCTAAAGCCGCCGCCAGCCTCGATGTCCCCTCAAGAAGGACAACAGATTTTTCGACCATCAGCGGTATCACAAGGGGGACCTTCTGCGGGTATGGTGGCCCAACCGATGCCAGGAATGCAGCAGCAGGGAATGGTATGAAGTATAGACGTTGTTGTTGAAATAATGACGTTTTTGCTGAAATGCATGTGCATGTGCTACAGAAACTTAGAATTTTCAAGTGAATACGATTCTTAGGTACCGCAACAGATGGCACCGCAACAGATGCAACAGCAGATAAAACCTCCACCTGCATTAACCGGTCGCTGCAAAGCACTGCTTGTTGGGATCAACTATCGTGGAACAAGAGCAGAGCTGCGTGGTTGTATCAATGATGTGCAAAATGTGTACCGCTTTTAAGGCTACCGCTAAAGCATCCTCAGCATCATCCACCAAACCGGACAACTAGGACTACGTAAATTTTACCTTATAGTTAAAAAAGAGGCGAAGGATGCACCGAGGGAGGCTAACGCGGTAGCTCTAACGCTTACTCTCGGAGACTTTCAAGTGGAAACCAGATCAAATCCGTGTGCTGACCGACGACGGCAACGGAACTTTCGGAGAGTACCCAACGAGACAGAATATCATGTTATGGTAGGACGTCATCTTTTGAGCAAATAGACAGAGAGCGTATCATGTTCACATGATATTAGGGGAGAATTAAATTTCCAACAAAAAGAAGCGTCATCAAATCCTCCACGTCCTTTCACCTTCTAATGCTTGCAGGCCTACGATGGTTATCGCAGGGCGTCACTCCTGGAGATTGTTTGTTCTTCCTCTATAGCGGTCATGGCGCGCAAAAGGAAGATCCACACGGGTAATAAAACGAACTTTCTTCTTAGTACGCATAGATGCCTTTTGTGTCCACGCATGCATAGTCATCTTTTTTTGTGTCCCTTTTCCCCTTTGCTTGTGTTTTTTGTAGGTCTTTTTTCCCTTTTCCCCTGTGCTTGTGTTTTTTGTAGGGAGGCAGTTAATAATGCCTACCAGGACCCCGAAGCTTTTTCTTGATAAACCAGGTATGAAGAAGACGGTATGAACGAGACGATTTTGCCTTGTGATTTCCAGCGCGCAGGCATGATCACTGATGATGAAATGTCAGACATTATCTGCCGCCCTTTGTTAAGGCTACTGTCACTGTGTGGATTTGGATAAAAAACTCAGACAGAATTGTGTTCCACATGATACTTACCCGTCTAAGATCTATAGTACCTTTTCCGAACAAAATAAAAATCGAGGCCCTTGGTCTAAAACTGATATTGGTGATTCTTTCTAGGACTCTGATTTTGATTCTTTCGCACAGGACTTTGATTCTGATTCCTGCTCGGAGGACCCTGAGACCCTAGGTTTGAGGCATGTCGCTCTCCAGGTTTTAGAGAAGAGAGTGCTCTAACTTTACCGGAAGGCGTACGGCTAACTTGCCTGATGGATTCTTGTCATAGCGGAACGGGTTTAGACCTGCCATGGACCTGGATTCCTGGAAGAGGTACGTCGACTTTTTTACGGCAACATACATTCAGATGTAGTACTCAACAACGCAGTTATGATCCAATTTTAGACTCATGGGGATCTAAAAAGCAGGTGTATTTCTTTCACTCCTCAAACAGGTTGGCGCGAAGACACGAACCCGTTTCATACGCGGGGCGATGTGCAGATGCTTTCGGGATGTGAAGATAGCCAAACGTCCTCGGACGGCGGGTCCTACTACGGCCAGAGGGCTGGCGCAATGACTACCGCTTTCTGTGAGGTGATGAGGGCGACATATCCTCGTGGACAGGCTTTGATTATGATGGGAGGAGTTCTTCATCAACGAACTGTACAACATTCATAAGTACTTCTAAGTACTTTGAGTCGTGGCACAAATATCTACTAGTAGTTGATGACTTGTTGATAGTGAAAAATGTAAAAAGTCAATTATAATCTTCAGCTTCCTGCCTCTACTAACATGTGCTATGATCAGTTGCTGCAGGAACTGCACAAGATGATGAGGAGACGCGGTTTCACACAACGGCCTCAGCTTACCAGCTCTCAAGCCTTTGGCATGGACCGTCTGTTTATCATGGACTCCATCGTCATGAACAGTAATACCGTATACGGACGCGTCTTCTTAAGGCTAGTGACATCTAAACTGCTTTCTCAACATCCAAGCTGCTGCGTCAATTTCTTCATCCTTTGCTTATTCATTGCATCTTCATCTTTTCAACATGGGTTTTCAGCCTAACTATGAAAAAGAAGCCATACAATTCATCTTCTCCAAGGATCTTTTCAGGAGTGCTTCTCTCTGCTGCAGGAAATTACACAGTCTCTAATGTTCCGAAGGAAGTTCCCACCCCGACCGCGACCCGTGGACGACAAGCTGGCAGATATGCTGGGATTGGGCATGGGTATCATGGGTGGACTCCTACTAGCCGATATGCTTCTATAGTACAGAGGCGCGCTTCTACGGTGAGAAATCCAGAACTAGTCGTGGTAGCTCCATTTGAGTAGTTATTCCAAATATTAGTACTACTTAAAAGAACGAGTCTCCAGGAGGAAGAGAAGGAACAAAGGACGATTAAGGCTTCCAGGAATCCATCTTCAGTTAAGGCTCAAAACAATCATTTCTGCAAGTCATTTCTTGCAGTTTCCTTCTTGGGATTCTGAAGAAATGCAGACAAGAAATGAAACGTTTTGAGCTCTAAATGATTCCAATAGTGGAGTACACACATGACAAGGCGTGCTTCTGCAGAGAACCTCTACCTACTTAGGCGTTTTTTTGCGAAGGAAGTCCATACTCATCGGTGCAGGAGATGCAACCTTCGTGTAACTCGAGATGCCACAACCAACAAAGGGAGCGGAGGTTGCTGTAGCCAGCTAGTTCGCGCCGAGACGTATTAGCAGCAACTAGCGCTTCTTAGCAGCAACTAGCGTGCAACCTGCATCATGTGGCCGCGCTTACTGCAGGCGTTCGGTAGTCGTGTGCACCCGGAGATCGTATGAAGAGCTTGAGGCTACAGGGCGGATCCGTTGCCACGCCTGTCTCTGGCCCCAGCGTGAGAGGTGACGTTGCGCTTTGTTGTAAAGCTGTCTCTGCAGCAGAAGCCTTACGAGAATTGCACAGGAGCGTTACGGAGATCCTTGTGAAGAGACTCTTGGTGTGCTACTACTTGTAAAAGCGCTCGGAGCAGGATAGGCTCCATTCTATTCTCGATAGCAGGGTAGACTCCAAATTTTGCAGACAGCGACTGAGCTGACGTAGTTACGTTGATTGTATCTCTGATAAACAAATCACAATTCATCGGCACTTCTCCTGGCTACCATGCAAAGGTCAGGCGCGAATTTGTGCGCGCAGGAATTTGAGGGCAACTCTAGGTTTCTGTGCGATCTTCATGAGAGAGGGACCGATGATTTATATCTGTAAGGGGTACTACCGCCGTGTAAAAGAAATCCAAAGAGGGCAGCAAGGAGAGAGATGTGCAACATAAAGAAATATTCCTAGGCGTGTAGAACGGAAAGAAACGAGTCGGCAATTTGCTGTTTTTTGCAGAGACACGTGAATGAATATGTTGGTGATTTGGCAAAAAAATTCATCTGTGCTCTCAAATGAATCTCAAGCTTGCAAACGTGAGAAAGTCGGAATCAACAGCGTGAGGTAGTCTCAACAACATCTAATATGCGAGAAATACGTTCCCCCGAGCGAGATGAGCCCGCCCCCATGATATCCACCTGACACGTTCTAACATTTTGATTTACCTACTTTTGCGACAAAAACGTGGATGTTTTTTGGTTGCAGAAAGATGAAAGGTTCATATGCTTGTATGTTTGTTTTGGTATCTTTTTGTTGAAATTAAAGCGAACGAGAGTGCCAGCGGACACGTGATGAAGGCACATCAGTGAAAGTGACTTGGTAGTTATTTTCAACGGCGATAGAAGCGATTGTAAGTCTCTCAGTCTCCAGTCCGGTGTTACTCCAACACCCTTCAAGCTTTTCTTAATAATAAGTACTGAGTACTACGAGCAACATATCAGAGAAGAGCAGGGCATCAACACGAGCACCCTAGTACTGGAAAATCGTCGACCACCATGCTGCATTCTACAGCACCCGGTGGTATTTCACCTAGCGTGCTGCTCACCGCGGAGATGAGCAATTAAGGAGAGTTTTTTGTCATCATCATGATCCTATGTGAAGAAGTCTTCATCTGAGAAGTGGCCCAAAATTTTGGTACTCGGACTTTGAATTTAGAATCCTGCCTCCAATTTTTGTAGTTGTGCGAACATTCATCCAAAGCAATCTTGACGTACTCCACTTGTCTGGATGATAAAAGACTAGACCTTCTCTACCTCTAAAGCAACAACACTTTGGGCGGTACGAGCATGACGATGTCTGCGTCGCAGACTTCGCGTCGTCCAGGTGGAAGTAGTATCCTGGGTAACTTGCAGCCACTGCCACTATCAGCTCACAATCCAGATGGGCCCTCCGCACTACCGCACTCGTCGCCACGAAGGCAGTTTGGATTGCAAAAGACCACACCAGGAGAGATATTCAAGGACCGACATCCTTCATCCTCTTCTACCGCTACTCCGGGAGGCGGTCATATGAGAGGTAACTACGATGTGAACAGTGTTATGACATCAGGATAACAAGGGACTCATCTTGTTACATGAAAGGCATTATAAAGAGCTCGCTATCGAGAAAAGACAAGATGAAAATTTTTCTTACAAAATGAAAATTTTTCTTACATAGCACCGAAGATGGAGCGCCGACACGAAAGTCAAAGACTACCGATGCTGAAACTATTACTACTCATACATCTGGGGAACATCTTCAACTTTTGATTATATATTATTACTTACAAAGATACGAGTGCTTACAAAAAAACTAAGTAGAGAAAGCAAGATGATTGTTGCACAGAACGTTGTTTCAATTGTTACCAATGTTGGCTGCTCTAATGATAGTGCCGAACAAGAAGAAGAGGCGGGCAACATGAGCGGCAGCAAAAGTAGTACGACTGGTGGTGCATTGTTTAACGCCACGATAGCAAGGAAAAGGGCAGAGCAAGATGCATTGCTGCTTCAGAACCGAATCCAATTACTGAAGCTTGAAGAAGACAAGGCTTTGCAGAAAACCAGGCAAACAGAACAGAAGTTATGCTCTCAAGCTCTGGATAAACTGTATCCAGGTTAGCATCTCAAGCACGACAGCAACAGGCATTGCAGGCGAAGAAGGGCATAGGAGTCAAAGTATTCCAGGACGAGATGATAGACCGTATAAACTCACGCATATTTTTTGCTTTTCTCAACACGAGAATCTCAACACGAGAATCTCAACACGAGAATCTCAACACGAGATTCCCTATCCTATATTACCCTATCCTTTTCAACTATGCTATCCTATCGTGTGCGTCCTGCGATCTTCTTTCTTTGTTTTACTCTAATTCCCGCCGGTGACATTCTGAACTTGCGCACTCGGAACAATATGCGCCAGCAAGAAAGGGAAGAAGCAGAAGCTGAGCTGCGACGAGAGCAGGATAGACAGAAGAGCTTGGTCCAGAGACGGAAACAACAGCAGAATCAAGTGAAGGATCTGACACAAAAACTTATGGAGCCAACTTATGGATTTTAGTTTCTACGAGAGAGTCAAGGTGGTCAACAAAAGAGCTAGATTTATAAGTAATAATGAGGATAGCAGCACTGTAAGAACGCCCTCACTTCACGCTCGAAGATGATCGCAAAGGTCAATAAACATCGAGACTTCGAGAGTAGGTAGTGCTTCTTCACTTCTAAAAAGCAAGACGCCCAGCGACGAAAGCAGGAGTATTTGAGGGCACAGAGCGATAGGAGGGAAGCCGAGGAGCGAATGCGCCAGGAGAAGGAGCTCTACAGACTAGAAGCAGAGGAGACGCGGCAGCGAATAAGGAGAGAAAGGTTTTTTTTTCGCAAATCTAAAACCTATAGAAGTGGGTTTAAGTTGGTTCTTTCCAACATTTAAACAATCTTGATCTTTATTTTCTTCTATTGATTCTTGGTGCACCATTGCTACAATACCTCTACAGGTTAGCATCTCAAGCACGACAGCAACAGGCATTGCAGGCGAAGAAGGGCATAGGAGCCAAAGTATTTCAGGAGAAGATTGACCGGGAGCAACGTTTGAAGGATGACAAGGAGGCCATGATAAAAGGTACTTAGCATAAAAACATGCTTCATCTGAAGGACATAACCCAAAGATCCTCTGATGCTTTTTAGTCTTAGGCTGAAGGCAGAACAAAGTAAAAGTTGTAAGCGAGGGAAAAGTAATGATCAACTGCTTGCAACGCTTGAAGGGACAAAAGATCCTCATCTTCGTTGTACTTCCGAACCTAATAAATTTTAGCCATTTTCACATACTACTCACCACAGAAATGGAGCGTGAGGAGATTGTATTGATTCGGAAATTGCAAGAAACGCAGCAGAGACAGCAGGCTGCTTACGAAGTATTGGAGGATATCATGTCGCAGCCGCCAACCGGCTTAACATCTCGTGCAGAGTCCTCTCATGCTGGAGTAGGGGCGCCGGGTTCGAATAGCAGGTACAACTAATTAAAGACGCTACATCCCGTGAGTGGGTACATCAATCAATCAATAAACTTAAAGGTGAAAAAAAAAAACTGTGTTGTCGAATATCACACATACTAAGGACATTCAGGACATCTTCCCATACATTTCTTGTAAGCTGGTACTCGAAACTGCTTATCAATCTGTACTTGTAGTCTAATCTACAAGTTTTCGGACCTGCTAAGCTACAAGTTTTAGGTGCCAAAAGCAAACGTATGAATTATAGATACATACCGAATCTTTCATCGTGCCAAAAGCCACAATGAATACGTCGAAGCAGAACTATTCTTTCACCGGAAAAAAATACTGACATAGCAAGAAGCAATTCAACTTTTTATAAGCGATTTTAGTTGTGCATTTACAGTTCCTCTCCTTTTACAGACGCTCGAACAGCAAGAGTATAGTGGAACAAGAGGTTAGCGAGCGGCTGCGAAAAATCAAGGAGCGTCAGGGTGGATCGTACTACTTACATACTCTGCACTTAAGATTTCGCTTTTGCTTTTCAGCTAAGTATAAGAAAAGGAACTTGGAATACGGATTTCCAAAACTAAGGTCCTGCTCTTCCGGTGCATCGTCTGAGGCGGGCGATGTATTTTTGCCGATGCTTCCAGAAGAGAGGCCGGCATCTACTTCTGAGGCAGCTCCTTTAGTCGTGAGAAGTAGTGGCACGGCTTCTGTCAAAACGGGTTCTGCCTCAGCCAGCAAATCCAAATGGAATCCTACTGAAGCCGAAGCATCTTCAGCAGCAAAAAGAAGTAGCAGTAAAAGTGATTCCGATGATCACGCTGGTGTCAGAAAAAACAGTGGTACAAGCATGGGACCGTCATCTGCGAGTAGAGGTAGGACTTCTGGTGATGCCAGTGCGCGTCGGGATGAGCAAGAAAACGGAGAACCTCGCAAGTCTACTAGTGCCACGTCAACAAAAGGAGGCTCAAACAAGCATGGGGGTGCCCCTTCACCTCCAGTACAGCAGTCCTCTGGAGAGGCGACTTTGACCTATACAACCGTAGATGGTCAGAAGATTGAAATTGACGTCGAACCAGACGTTTTGATGGAGGAACTAGAATTAGCCTCAATGCTCAACAGTTGACATGAGGAGTCTGGGATGAGCAACTACAATTGACACGTGACCTTTTCCTTAGAAGAATCAACATTGGTGAGAAACACATTGTCATTGCCCATTGGAAGATAGGAGCGGTAAATCCGTCAGCATCTTTGAAGAAGATATTTTGTCTCCGTAACATGTGTCACTCTCTGTGTTCACATGCAATTTCTAAACTTGGGTAATCGTCTACCAAGAGTAGGTCCACCCCAAAGATATACTTATCTCGTCATCTCTTCTCTGTCTTTTATGTCCCTCTCACACGTTTCGCGCGGAGCCTTTAATGATACGCTTCTCGTCACATCACGCAGTACTATGACGATGAAAGGGACCTTCATACGGGTTTTCATTTGATGCTGAATGAACGAATTCTCTGACTGCCTTCATGCTTTCCAGTCGTTGTTCTGGAACGCAACCTTGGCGCTGTAGGGATCAACTAAATTTCATCGGAAGGCATTGTGGAGTATTTCTGTCAACATCGGTTTGAACCACCAAGTCCACAAGGCACAGAAAGTGTGTGAAAAAATAGGAAGCAGCATTAGAAGATGGACAACGAGGTTCAGCGTCGTGCTTCTACGTCGGTTCTTCAGCTCACTAGTAAGAAATCTGTCTGCCACGTCAATAAATTGTCTGCCACGTCAATAAATTGTCTGCCACGTCAATAAATTGTCTGTTGAATTTTGACTTCCCATAGGAGGCTCTGATCGTGGCGCTCTGTGGTGATTGACATCCTTGCTAGTTCCTGTGGCACTTACATCTAAGTAGCACCAATGGGCTCGATATCCGGTATGTCTTGGGCCCAATCCTCTACTATGTGCTACGTTTTCTCCCCTCTTGAACTCCATCTGCCCATCGTCCACCTTGTTCGTGTGGTGTAGGTTCCTTGTTTTCTTACTCTTTCAAAGACCCACGCTTGCTGTTTCAGAATGTTGTGTTGCGACGTTTGAAAAAAAATTTTAGGTCGGATTACGCATCTTCGTAGCGTCCGCGAGTTTTCTCTGATTTGAACCCAGACCTGCTTAGATAAACCCGTCTACGGACTGAGTATCGCATGAATAGTGGCGCACTCTAGCGCTGTGAGTAGACCATTTTTCTCGTAGTTTCCATCTGCGACCTTGTTAAGCAGTGAGGGGACTGTCGAGTACGCAAACGCATTGACACCTTCTAATGGGGACCAGGGAACGACACGAACGGTCGATCATTTCATCGCGTAAATGGGTGTGCAGATAGACTGATAGACCCCGATCTCCTACTGGACACCACGATACTACAACAGTGCCGTGAAGACACTACAACTAGACCAGGGAAGCATAGGACGAGTCAACAGCCCTCCTGTTCCCGACAAGAAATACTGAACGTGCTTCGAACGCTCGAGCACGGACACCTCGCAGCAGAAGTACAACTACAGCCTCCATCCATCAAAGAACACCTTGTAGTACATTCATCTTCTTTCATCAACTACAACAGCAGAGAAGAGACGCAGCGAAGAGAGTCAGGAAAGTCGTGGGCCGAAGCGGAACCGAGGACCACTAACCTCATCAGTAGTAGTACAACGAACGCAAAGGAGTCATTCAAGTTTCGAAGACAATTGCCGAGGAGCCCAATTGCATAGGAGCCATCGGCTCTCATCCAAGTTTCGAAGATGCCAGCATTTTCGAAAAATCCAGGACCATCGCAGCTGTTTCGTCGTGGCGGCTTGACGCTCGATAATTGGCTGCAAATATGGAGGTTCCTCTACCCAGAAGACCTAATTGCACTACGTGGCACCTGCAAAATGCAGCACCAACTATTTCCGCACTTGCTCCAGATATTACTTGATTATGACTGGATGAAGACACAGGTGGTTGATGGTTGTCGCTAGTACTATAGGAAATAACAAAATACCATACGCATAGACATTGATTAGAGTGTAGCGATAGAAGAACAGTCGACTACCTACTGACTAGAACGAGCTGCAGCAGCAACGTCGAATCGAACAATTTTTGTAATACAACATCGCTCAAGTTGAATCCCCCACCTCTAACCCGTTCTATGGATCGCGAAAGTTGGTTCCGAATTCCCTCTGGCTCAGTTGGAGGAAGAGATGATGAAATTTTTGACTGGGTCCTGGTACGAGAAGATTCTAGAGTTGAGGACGAACTATGCAGAAGGTATGGAACAGTTTTTAGCGAAAGTATCGGACAAACGGTTTGTGAAACCGATTTGGCGTCCTTACATCGAAGGCCTTTTGTTGTTGCTAAGGTGTTACGAGTCTGTGTCCAGAGGACGCGCGAAAGCGAATTTGGGATGGTACTGTTAAATCTATGTTGTTGGCAACAGATGGCTTGACATTGAGGATCCTATTTGCACTTTTGCTACGTATCTCTCCATCTCAAATTCTTCAACGACAAGGCACAAGATTCTATTGCATTTTCAGTACTCTGACAACTCTGTTAATAATTATACGAATGATCATGTACCACCACATCATCTGAAGTGTTCCGAGTACCCTGTCAAATAAACCACAGGTGGTATCAACACAGTATTTTCGGAGCGCAAACCTTTGATCGGAACCAGCATGAGAATTTCCGCAAGATAAAGCGCTGGTTTGGCGGTCTTGACTCGAAGAAGAAAGGCGGGGGGAAAATAAGAGCGAGAGGAACAACAAGTGTCGAGGATGAGATAGACCTACACGCAGGTCGATCGCTAACTGCCTCAGTGTTCAGCAAAAGCGACATGCGGCGATACTATTCAGTGGGCAAGGGAACGGTATTCGAGGACTGGACGTGGGTGGACTTTCGAGAACTCGAACCAAGTCTAGTTTATGGTCTTGAGAATCAATGCTATTGCTTGACTGATTTTTTCATTCGTTTCTTTTTCGAACTTAGGAGTAGCCGCAATTTCAGACGTACCCCTGGACTGGGTTTACTTCTACCACTACTACTACTACCACTACTCCTCCTCCTCCTCCTACTCCTCCTCCTCCTCCTCCTCCTCCTCCTCCTATAGTGCATTCTCAAGATGAACCCCACCCATCACCTTTCTCTCATCTAATGCCCCGCTTCGTATTCTCGCTATGTGGAGCATCTGAAGCAAATACTGACCGACAAGCGGAAAAACCAGGAGGCGTTACTTCTAGAAAGTGCTTGTGATTTCGAGAACTCTCCGGCATTGTCAAACCTGACAGGGGCAGCGCGAGCAGCAGAAGTAGACAAGATGAGGAGACGAGAGCAAGATCGGAAGGCAGCCTATGGTACACTGGATGAGCCACCAGATGAGCTCGTGGAGGTACCTACTTCTAGGATTTTCATATCGTCTTTTTACGTCGTAAGGACATAAGACGAACTTGTGTAGTTAGAAACGCTACCCCGTTAAGATTGCAACTACCTAGATCATCGAAGTTTCCAAGTTCAACTGGGTCAACGCAATGCCTTTCGTCAATTTCATTGCAGTGCACGGTCAACGAACTTTTACTTTCAAAAATTTATTCACAGTGCGGAGAGTATGCAGTGCTGTGGATGCAACAGGCGATGATGCTTCATGCCAAAACACGCGATGCGATAACACACTGTCGGTTTCTGCTCAGCTATTTTTATGGATGCGAGTGTGAAAAGAAGTCAGGTTCAGGTCCTGCCGAGTCATCTATTTCCTCACACGAAGATGACCTTTCGACCTTCAATGGATTTTAGTGAGGCACATCAAGCAAAGACTTCTAGCTAAGATTCGGACACGATCAGATTAGACTGCAACGACGAATCTTGCTACACCAGTCTACCCAGAAGATGACAGAAAAAAACCCCACTACGAGACTGCTAGACGAAAATCTACTCACATCTTCTAATCCGTAGCAGTGGCGCAGATGGGCATGGTCGTGCTCGAGTTTACAGAGCCCCAGATGCTGGTGCTGAATTCGGCACGATTCCTTACTCGCTCTCTCTTCTCTCTGCGAAGGTCGCATTTAAATGACATCGATTTAGGGCAGTTGCTTCTCTGTCGCGGCGATGCAGCACCGGCAGGAGTGATGCCATCGTCTGTTGCGAAGCGCTTAAAGTTTGGGAAAGCCAAGGACAGGGGCAGAAAGAACGGAGGGCCTTTGACCGAACAAGAGATCCTATTGCAGAACCTGCAGAGCAAACAGAGTACTGAATTTATTGTGCGACGCGGTAGCTCTAATATCCCATGCATCGTCTGCTGGAGCTGCAACCAAGAACAGAAATCTCACAAGTTCCAGTTCTAGTTAACATCCGATCCTTGGTTCACTTATATTCTTGGGTTGATTTTTTCACGTTGCGTCTGCTGTCTTCTTGTGTCTGAGGGCACAGTGCATCGCATAGTCTAGAGGCTGGCATGCTAGCCAGTGGTAGACTTCAGGGAATGGAAAACTCACACACCTGCAGATCTCGTCCAAGTTAGCCAAGCTGGTTATCTTGTGCCCTCCCTGGTTGTTCTGCGAACCCTGGCACCTCGACCGTACTTGAGCGACTTCCGGTATGCAGAAGCAGGCACAATAACCCATAGATACGGACCTCTCGGGGCCAAGTTGCGGAAACACGCCAGAAGAACCTACGTGGCAATTTTGGTTGCAAATATGCTCAGGGATTGGTACTTGAAGTTGTTGGATAAGTAGTTAAGTGGTTGTAGTTTCCTAGACGCTACTAGAGATTTGAGACAACTAGAAGCTAGACGATCTGTCCTGTCAGCTCTCCCTTAACACTAACTTAAGGTACTTCCGGCATCAAGCAAGTGAGCAGAAAGAGGCAAAGGCAGTAGTATCGGCAACGGCATTCTTAGAAAGGAAGCTAAAGCCAATTGAGGATGCTGCGGAGGACCAAGCTGCTGAAAAGGCGAAAACAAAAAAAGTTATGCACCGTTGGATTAGGAGTTTCTAAAATCTATTTTGGCAGTTTTGTGTGAGCCAATTAATGTGCACTTGAGTTGGTTCTCACGTCTTTGATCATTGGAATACTTCCGTGTAACACGCTCGCGCTACTTGCGGCCATTCTCGTGTCATCGAGTATGAAGAACTGTAGACGACCTGCCTCCATCTCGACTAAAGGCTCCATCTCGACTAAAGGCTCCATCTCAAGTAAAGCCTCCATCTCAACTAAAGACTTTTTGCCACACGTTCTCCTCCTTCATACCATCCAAGAAAGAGCCGAAAGAAATGAAGCGGGCGCCGTTGTATGATAGTAGCGCGCACGTGAACCCCTTTAGAGAGGAGTACGAGGAACGCATGCGCAAAAGAAGAGAAGGAGCTGAACGTCCTAGGATGCAAGTTGGCGGCTCATCGTCTTCAACGGCACGCGTAGATGCTATTAAGAGAAGAAAGATTATGATGTTTTTTAAGAGAATGCCTCCTTGTTTGGTACTGGAAGAAAGAAAAACCTCGTTATTGACAACGAGATCATACCTCCAAGATTGATTTTTGAGATTATTCTTCTCTAAAATTCCACAGCCTCCACAAGGCAGTGCTGGTACTGCGGCTGCTGGAGGAGAGTCCAGGCCACGAAGCCGGGGGCCAGTTTTGGTTGCTGGCAAGCAAATGCAGGACTTACCTGTAATACCAAAGACAAGTGGTGTAGACCACTTTCCAGCCGCGCCTGGTGCCATCGCCGCACGTGGAGGTAGCGGCATACCTTCAGCATCACAGTTGGACAGGTTTATAGAGGAGACGCGGAAAGAACTGGCGTACGCTGACATTGTGAGAAAGACGGAAGCGTCGACGGATAGTGTGCCACAGGTACAGTTTTTCACCAAAAGATTGATTACGTCTTGGTACACGAGTTAAATAAATCTTCCTGGAGGTCTTGTTTCTCGAATATAACTACATTGTTTTGCGAACTTTGCTCCTGACAGGACCACGCGACCGAACAGCAACTCAAAGGACACAGCAGGAGCACCTCAAAGGACAGGAGAATAAGCGACGTAGAGGGCATCCAAGAGATGGTAGGAGATTTGCTCCAAGAGGAACCCCAGTTGTCGCCAGACGAAATCAGTGATCTTGTCACCGCAGCTGTATTGCAGTCAGGGCTTGATCACATGGATGGAGGTAGTTATACTCTGATAAGATAATGATCACATGAATGGAGGTACTTTCTGATATTTCGAGCAATATTTCTTGATGTGTTGATATTAACTTATAAATTCTCAGAGGAAGCCGAAGAGGTGGCCGAGGTGGTCCGAGGGACTGTAATAGACACCTTGATTGGCGCTTTGCAAGATGAAGCCTCAGACTTCGGAGTAGAGTCGGTACCCGGCAGTGAAAGTGGAGTGGCTAGTCGAGGGGAGAGCAAATCTGTACGAAGAGTGGGGGACGCAGCGACAAATATTGGCAGGAAAAGGTACTGTCATTTGGGAAACTTTCTTCCTCCTGAGGTGAGATGAAGTGTTGCAGCGAGTCTTGAAAACAATGTAGTTTCTCTTTTTTCGAATAAGCTCCTACAGTACAAGTTCCTTGCACGATATTACACATCCAGGCTGTCCTCTACGCTCGGCAGCGTACCGTCGAAACCTTCGAACCGTGCCCTTCCTGAAGTCGCGGTGGAAAAATGGAGACAAAGCGACGCGTATAAAGATCGGACGCTAGTCGTGGGCAGCCAATTCGATCCTTATTCCCGTGGCCACCTAGTCACAGCAAGCAACAACAACAGCGTCAACACGGTGCTCAAAATTATGCCCTCACATTTTTAGCATTTAATTTTAGCATGATATTGTTAGTAGTTGGACACGGTGATCAAGCATTTAAATTTAGTGTTGAACACGGTGATCAAAATAGCATATTCTGCGGATGGCACAGTAGCATCAAATCAATGCGGATGTTGATCGGAAGAAGATCGTGAGGTTTTTTGTGAGCTGTTCACAAGAAAACTTGTCGTCGAGAGGTAACAAGGCATGAGACCAATAATAAATGATAGGGACTCCTTTACAGCCGAGACTTCAGCTTGTGCGGAGTCGAAGTCAAGGCGTCCTATCCTATCCTATCCTATCCTATCCTATCCTATCCGATATTTAAATACCTTCTTCCTCTAATACCCAACCTGGCGGGAAAAAAGCAGAAATGCCAATCCGTACTTTAGTCGATCTCTATGTTCTTCCAAAACTGCAACCGAGCGAGGTGATGGGCTATAAATCGGGACGGGCAATTGTAGCCACGAGACAAAGCTGGAACAAACCAACGATGTAGCAGCTACATTGATGTAAGCGACAATCTTTGTAAGTAGCTGCATTGATTGTAAGCAGCAATGTATGTAGCTGCATTGATTGTAAGCAGCAATGTATGTAGCTGCATAGATTGTAAGCAGCAATGTATGTAGCTGCATAGATTGTAAGCAGCAATGTATGTAGCTGCATTTTTGTAAGCCAAGAGGACCGTGCGTGTAGTCTCTTAAATCGCTGCTCCTGCATCGTTTAGCGGTAGGGAGATGGAGAAAACACGAGAGCAATTGCAAAGTGTCTTGATCACTCACACCCTGGAGTACTTGCACATATCTCATGCTTACCCGTTACCTACCTCTTAGATTTCAATACTCAAAACAGTGCGACCTTCAACGTTACAGAAACTTGAACTTTACAACAATGTCTAGTTTTACAGTCACGAAAACAATACGAGTATTTGGCTCAAGGACGTAGCGTATTTAATTCCGACGAGTCAAAGCGGTATCGTCAAGGACATGTCGATTCGAATGTCAAACACAAGATTCAAAGTTGAAATTGCTGATACAACATTGCATTCATAGCCGAAGTTCTTTCGCTCGGATGCTAGAAAAAAAAGACTAAGACTTCACGATGAAACAAATAGCTTTGACAGCTGCATGAGTCGCATGATGGATGTTTCTTTGCTTTGTGTTCACTCATAGCACAACTCACATTTCTGTGCTGTGTAGTTTGCTGTGTACTTCTAACGAAATGTTGGTTCTGATTGATTCAGGTAGAGGCTCGTCTTCTTTCTGGTAAGCAATTATCGGATGGAGCAGTATGCAACTCTGAAAACTTCCTTCGGTTGTACGGGTGCATAGCAATCGGTGAAGGAAGAAAGTTATTTGAAGAAGGAAGCTGATTATTTGGTTGAAGATGATCGACGCTGATTATTAGGCTGAAGATGATCGACAAAGATGCCCAAGCTGAAAAACCGCAACAGCATTCAGGGCAGGCACTTCTAGGCTTTGCAAGGAAAGAGACTACCAGCCTCTCCTACTGGTGGCTTTGATCCATGGACTACATACAATTTGAATCTCCTCTAGATTTGTTTTCACGCACTAAGAAGTCTACCTAGTAATTCTAAGTAGTTGTACTCTTAGAAGAAACAACCACTAAGTCTACCTTTTGTTTTCACGCACTAAGAAAGTCTACCTAGTAATTGATTCCAAGTGGTACAACCAGTGTAGTTTGTACTCTTAGAAGAAGAACAAAAAATGACGTCTGGAGACAGCGAGCTTCGTATCGGCAAGCACAAGGGGAAGAAGTACTCCGAAGTGTTTGATACGCAGCAGGACTATGTTCGTTGGGCGATGAAAATCGAAGAGCCCTCAGGCGCCATGCTCGACTTCGTCAACTATTGCAAGGAGCGCAAGGGCGGAGGCGGCGGTGGAGCTGCTGCTGCGAATGCACCAGGCAATAATAATTATGCTGCACCATCACAAGCGAGCAGTGGAGGCTACGGTGGCCAGGCTCCTGGAGGACAGTACCAAGGAGCACCTGGCAACAATCCGGCTTATGGCGGTGCACGCCCAGGTGGATTTGGCGGGAACATGACTTTTGGTGGAGCATCTGCCTCTCAGGCATCTTCAACACAAATGAGCACTGGATTTGGAGGAGGTTTTGGAGGTTCTGGAGGAGGTTCCAATATTATGATGAACAATTTTGGCGGTGGTGGTTTTGGACAGTTCGGTGGGCCCACATCGATGGGAGTTTTGCAGCCATGGGCTTCTGGCGGTGCTGGTGGTGTAAATACCACAGGAAACTTTGGAGGTGCTACAGCAGGAAATGCCGCTGGTCAGAATAACTGGAATGGGAGGGTCACCCAACTTTCCGGCGAAGTCTCCCTAGAACTAACGGCGCACCACCTTGTGGCTTTGAATTATGACTGAACATCACTTCGTTGCGGTTTCTTCCCGAGCTGTTTTGATACCACCCGCTATGATTTCATGACACTTTCAGATTTGTAACCTGGACGTTCTTGTTGCATCTGTACTTGATCACATCTTTATCGTCTTCCTCTTCAAGTCGACTTCTGCGAATGTAAGTACTACTTCTCTTTGTGTGACTTGGGACGATCTGCCGGAGTGGAGGTGTCACCTTGTGCGGCGACGACGCCGGGGCATCCTATCCCTATCCCTATCCCTATCCCTATCCCTATCCCTATCCCTATCCCTATCCCTATCCCTATCCCTATCCCCATCCTATCCTGTATCCTACAGCACATCCTCCATGCAGGTCTAACTTGTATTAGGCGGCTTCGAAGGCACGGACACGTATGGGAAGTTGAGGAATATCATGCCAGACGTGCAGATGCATCCGAATAGCAAGAGCTGTCTCCAGTGGCCCTTCGATCAGAAGGAGGAACTCCTACGCAGACTAAATCAGCAGTTCAAGCAGCCAGACGGCAGCCAAGAAGAAAACATACCAGGGTGGATTTTGAATTACGGCGAACAACTGGATGCTTGGTATAGTTGAGCAGAGGTAAGGTCCCAGCACTGAATGCCTTGGTATAGTTGAGTAGAGGCTTTCTTTCGATGTCATCTGCATATATATTGCAGGTAGTCAAAAACATGCCAGATACAACTAGTTCATTCAAGACAGATGATTCATGATTCTTAATGCCATCTCTCTAAGTAAAGCTCAGAGAGTACATCGAGAGGAAGAAGCAAGCCGTTTCAACGATGGGCACCGTAGACGGGCAAGTGTTCGTGCATTTGCGCCCTTTCCAAGCCCAGGGTGTAGAATTCGCTATCCGGAACCGAGGTCGGTGCATCATAGGAGACGAGATGGGATGTGGGAAAACAGTAATACTATACAGTAATACTACATAGGTCGGTGCATCATAGGAGACGAAATGGGATGTGGGAAAACAGTAATACTATAGGTATACAGTAATACTACATGGAGCTTTTTACAAGCTTTTAGTACCAATTAGTAAGCATGCATGGGTTTTTCTCATAAGTTCTTGGTACACATATTTCCTCCAGCACGGCCTACAGTTCGTTGCAACTCCATGAAGTTTACGATTATCCACTCGTTTTGCTTTATTCATTACGCATATTAGATACACGATCCATGACTCATATTTGATAAACAGGTGCAAGCTCTTGCAGTGGCCTGGTACTACAGAGGCGAAAAAGACTGCTGGCCTGTCGTAATTGTGTGCCCGAGTACTCTTCGGACCGTGTGGGCTGATGAAATAGAAAAGTGGGTGACTGAACCTAGTCGCGAAGCCAGAGGGAAGTTACCGAAAGTGCAAGTCATAAACAAAGGCGCTGATAAACTGCAGGCGGACGCCGATTTCGTTGTTGTGTCCTACAACATCGTAGCCAGCAAAGCGAACCTGCAGAAACGTCATGATGGAAGGCCGTACTGAACTGCTTTGCTTGATGTTGTTACAGCATGCTTGTTGATGGGGTATGATAATTCGGGCCGACGTAACACGACTACCGGTGGCGGGGTGCAGATCGTCGCGATTTTGGGCCCTTTCGCTGGTCACACACACCTGGCGCCGCGCTGCGGAATGGGCCCCGGTATGGCTGGGCAGCAGCAGGGCGCTTTGGTCGGATAAGCTGCCGGCAAGCGGCGTCGCACTCCCTGGGACACTCAGTCGAAAGCGCAGGGGACTGGCGACGCAGCTCGAAGCCCAGCGCGGAGCCTATCTGGACGACCACAGCCGCGCGCGCCCTTTGCGGTGGATTTGTGCGCGCCTGTTCGCGCCCAGCGTGTGAACGAGAGCACACGCACGGCCGCCGGGATAAGACGCGCAAGAACATGACAGGCACAGCGGGATCCTTATCGGTATATTGGCAAAGCCTCCAAAGCCATGACCCGCGGAGACTATGCCTGAGGTGGGGCTTTGTGGGCCGCGCCTCTCTCGCTTATGCGCTTACAAGCCAGGGCCGGCCAAAGCTCCTGAGGGAGCAGGCCTATTTGTCGAGTTCGAGGCAGCAGGCTCGGGCGTGCTCGCTTTGGTGGCGTGAGTTGGCCGCTGCGGCGGCCGCGTCGGTCTCTTTCATTCTTTCTGGCTCTTGTGCTTTGGCTTTCTCTGTGGTGGTTCTTTCTTTCGTTGGGAGGCGCGTCCGTGCTGCGTCGTTTCGTCTGCTATGTCACTCCCTTGCTTCGGTAGCTAGTGCTTGATACATAGAAAGGCCAACGGGTGTGGGTCGGTTGCTTGGGTTATACATAGTTTGTTAGAAATAGAAGACGGAGAAAATCGGCCCGACCACTCAGTTCGCCGTGTATGCAGTGCCCGTAAATACTGGGTATATCATCACCATCTCGTGGAAAAGCATAGGGTTACTTTGTTGTCCAGTACTTATCTCATCCTCCTGTATTTCATCGCTAGGTACGGCATGCTGATCTCGGACGAGTCGCACTACATCAAAGATCCTAAGAGCAAGCGAGCACAGGCCGTCATCAGGATGGCGAAAGACGCAGATAAGTGCGTTCTTTTGAGTGGAACGCCAGCGCTCAACCGTGCGAGCGAACTCTATAGTTTGCTCGACATTGTGCTGCCAAAAAATAGTTAAGGCTGATAAATCGTCATATTATTTAACATTATACGTAGATGGTTCTTTATGTAAAAAAAAGACGCAGACTACAAAAAATTACCCCGGGGCTCGGTGATGGAAGAAGAATCAGGAAGTTTCCAATCTCACTCAGTTCAGAATGAAGAAACACTTGTCATACTCCAACCGCTGTTCTAATTTTTCATTCCTTCCCAATCCCAAACGGGGTATCTATTTCAAATTTCAAGCGCCTTATTAGATTCTCTAATTTCCCATCCCTTCCCAAACTGGGTATCTGAAGCGTTTTGCGATAAAGCGAGAGCAGTTTTTCCACGGTCGCGCTGTTGTGCAGTGGACGGGCGCCAAGAGAGCTGAGGAGCTCCACTACCTGCTGCAGAGCTGCATGATCCGACGCCTGAAAAAGGACGTTCTATCCCAATTACCACCAAAAACACGCATGCGAACCAGATTAGCGGAACAAGACCTGGACAAAACCAAAATGTTATGCTCTGGGAGAATGTGGAAGCAAGTCCTCTAAGATGCTCTGGGAGAATGTCCTCTAAGATGCTCTTGTGCAAGATTCATTGCATTGTATTGGAATGGAGTTTTTGTTGTGCCACTACTTGGGTTTCAATTCGAACGATATTTTGTATCTTTCTGTAGCTTTACGTACTTGTTACGCATGATCAAGCAGAAATAGGGAGTACTACACCTTGTGTGAGACGAGGGAAAGGCATCCTATCCTATCCTAGTAGGGAAGTGACAACCTCCTCCTACCCTGTCTTCGATTTGTTACGCATGATCAAGCAGAAATAGGGAACGGGAAGTGACAACCTCCTACCCTTCATATCGAAAGGAGTTATCCTCCCTTGTCGAGGAGCAAGCAGAGCAAGTGGATCGCATGATGACGTCTGCTGAAAATGGCGGTCCGCCACCTGGAGGACAAATGACGAAAATGTTCCAGATCACTGGCGAGGCAAAAATTCCAGCGATCAATGGCGTTGTGGCTCAGTTGGTCGAAGACAGCCCGGATGACAAAAAGTTTCTCATCTTCGCACATCACCGAAAGGTAGTGAAAACGTTTATCCTGTGTTTATTCGACTCTAGTTGCTGGACAAGATCAGGATCAGTAGATTATCAACATCTGGGTTACCACTTTATAACTATATATTATGCTGTTCTTTTTTTTACAAATCTGTGGTACGCATAGAGTGAATTCTTTAAGAAATCGAAAAACTTGTGATGAAATGTTCTCCAAGCATGTTGCCAGGTCCTCGACAGTGTCGATGAGAAGTTGCGCGACTTGAAAATGGGTTTTATCAGAATCGATGGCGCAACGCCTCAGGATCAAAGAGGCACCTTGGTTCTTAAGGCAACCAAGAGAGAGCATCCCCAACATCATCCTTGGCTATTTTTCAAAGGGGGAAATTAGTAAGCCAAGGGCGTTGCCAGGGATGCGAACGCGGTACTAGGTCTAAGGTTCACGAGTTCCAGAACAACCCTGCTGTTCGATTTGCCGTTCTCAGTATCACTGCTTGTGGCGTGGGACTCACGCTCACGGCTAGCGATCACGTCGTCTTCGCTGAATTATACTGGGTGCCAGGGCAGATGATCCAAGCCGAAGACCGGGTTCACCGCATCGGACAGGAAAACGCCGTGACTATTCATTATGGAGTATTACATCCCAATATCTTTGCACCGTCTACTCAGTTTTTTAGCCTATTTGTCTCTCTCTCACCCCTCTCCCACACCTCTCTCAAAGCCTATTTGACTCTCACACCTCTCTCGCCTCTCTAACTCGGATACTTGATCGCGCCAAACACGGTGGACGACCAGATGTACAAGATCTTGGACGGCAAGCGCAAGGACACAACTGCGGTTTTGGACGGAAAGAAGCAAGGAATGCAGTGCGTGGATGAAGACGATAGAGGCTACGATGGATACGAGGCCAAGAGACAGAGGGTAATGTGAAGACGGCATGTCTACTCCCGGAACTGCTCTGTCTACTCCTGGAAGTACCTATAGAAAGACTATGTACGTTTCCGGCAGAAAAATGGAAAGGGTTACTCATCTGAACGCGCTGTTAGTTCTCTTGTCATTTGAACACACTCAATTTTGAAGACTCATCTGAAGCTGAGCATACACTCTGATTGTGGAAGTTAGACCTAATGTTAGGAAGGCAGGTAATGAACACGGACAGTGTCATCTATGACCTATTGGATTCCCACTCTTTTGTCATCCCGCCGCTCAAGCGGACTGTCGCACCATACTAAAAGTTTTTAAGTTGATGTAGCAGCAAGATTGCGATCTTCGGCTTCGTCAGTCGGGAGCGCTTTTTTTTCAATCCTCGAAAAGTCGTGGTAGTCGTGATGAGCTAATTACAGAATTGTTTGGAAGAATCTGTCCTAATGCCGCTCGTGAGTTACTTGTGAAAGCTGAGAAATCGGTCAAGAAAATCCTAAGTGGTAACTTTCTTCGGTCAGGAGTCCCACTGTGATTTCGTTTGAACAATTTTCCAGATTGAGACACACCCCCGCGCATTACCTCCTTCGTCGACCAAACGCCTTATCTGTCTTTCCACCCTTTCGCATCCAGTGTCAAAGTCGAAGTTATATTCATATGCTCGTTCGAATACAAACAGGAAAAAAAGTCGCGAAATTGTCGAAAAAAAATCTTCTAAGTCCACTAAGCTGCTTTGAACCAAAATAACTTCATTGCACCACGCTTTTTCCTCAAACAATTTTTACACGACATCAGGAATTATATTCTGAAGATTCAGTGAGGACAGTTTTCTCTTATTTCTCTTTCTTCAAAAACACAACTCCTAGTTAAGACAAGAAGATGGCTTCTGCGGAATGGGTCCCGCCGTCGCTGGAAAGCATCCTCCAGCGAATGCGTGAAGAATGCTACCCGAAAAGGATTCGTCCTATGGGTACTTTTAGACCAACATCAACCTAACCTCGCTCTTTTCTTACCAAAATAAAATGTTAAGTACTACATTTCGCATCATTTCATTTTTGAAACTTATCAATCGTAATCACATCTCTCCCAACAACAAAACTACTTCGCACTACTACATGCTTACTACATTTCAGACTTTTTTCGGGATTACGACAACTTCAAGCGCTATGAGATGACTGAATCGCAGTTTATGCGATGCCTGAAGCAATTAATGCCCAGTTTGGGTCCCATCGAGTGGGAGGTCCTTATCGCAGCATACAAACTCCCATCTGGCATGGTCAACTACAGGACTCTGGTGGAAGAGGTACTGAATACTTTTTTGGTTTGGATTTAAGTTCGGCTATAGAATTAGCACATGCAGCTCTTTCATCTATGTTGGCTTTGGTGCTAGAAGAGGTTGTACTACTAGTACGAGGAAGTAGATGATCAGCATCAGGATTAGGCTGTTTCTTTGGTTTCTTGAGTAACAATATCATTATGCTTGATTGTGTTATAACTGTAAAATGCTAGTAGAAGTGAGGAGATTCAATGAGGCTCTATGATAAAATCAAATCAATGCTAATAATCAAAAGGGTCTGCAATACCCCTCGAATGAGTACACTACTACTACTACTACAGATCGAGAAGATCTTTACAAAAGCCGGACTTGCTTACGCACCAACAGCAGAGGTGCCAGCTCCAGGATCTGGCATGACTAAGGCTGAATTGCCACCTCTCGACGAACGCATGCACGCAATTTTGTATCGGGTACTTACTACTTCCGTTGTTAGTTTCTACAACTGGTCATGTGATAGTCTCAACAGCATTTTTGACCATGGTGAAGATAGTTTTGAATCGAGGCATTCTATTTTCGTAAGTCTTTAGAAGGAGATAGAACTCTACTACCAGCACAGAACAACTAAAAATAGGTTGCGCTGCTTTGCCGTACGCGTGCTATCGTGATGAAGTACGCTTTTGAGGATGCGGATAGAGGACAGTCCACTTCTCTTCTCGTTAAGGCTACCGTTGAAGCATGCTCAGCAGCATCCACCTTGGCTCTTTTTCTACTTGAAAAAGGCGCGGCCAAGGATGATGCGAACGCGGTAGCTCTAATCTCGTTCCGCGAAGAGGCGGAAAGGTGACGGAGCCACAATTTAGACGCTTTTTTCCTTTGAACAAGGACTTTACGGAAGAAGAAATTACACTGCTCATCCACCGTTATAGGGATCCGGAAGGTAGTCATGTTGACATTTAAATGCTAAAGCTTGTTTGCCGTCGTTCAAGAGTAAATATTTTCAAGAGTTGTAAACTGAATACTTTGACCAGAATGAAATCGCTTCTACTAGTACTACGTCAACATCCTTTTGTTCCCATGCATTATAAATATGGATACTGACATTCTGTCATTACAAGCGATATTGATATTCTATCATTTTCTCAACATACTTCTTATTTTGTCATACTTGCCTCTTATCGTTATCCCATTACCATATCCACCTCTTACTTATTATACCCCTTATACCATATCCACCTCTTATTTCTATAATCCTCTTACTTCTATGATCCTTCCAGGCAACGTCAACTACAAGGCCCTCCACGAGGAAGTGACAGATCCAACAGCCATTGTGAAAGATGCGCCAGTGCCAACGTCGAAATTTATTCCCCCGCCAGAAACACAATCCTGGAGCCACGAAAAATACAATATCCTCGAGCGTGTCACAGCAAAGCTTATTGAACTCAGAATCAAGTACTGTGAAATTTTAATTTTTTACAGAGGACTACTGGAATTGAAAATAGACTACTGGACTGAATAGACGGCTGGAATTGAAAGTAGACTACTGGACTCTACTACTGAAAACATACATATACATTTTTTCCTACCATGACGAACACAATTTCCGACTATGACTTCCTACCATTAAACTGGAAGTAACAAACAAGGTATGAAATAAATCTCCACGAAATCTACCACAGGCCAAAGGAGTACTTTCAAGACTTCGATCCTCTGCGAAAAGGGTTCTGCACTATCGGAAACCTCGACACCGTCTTCGGTACTAAGCTTATGTGGTTTTATTTTTCACCTTCGTGGCCTTCCTTGATGCTATATGTCTAACGATCTAATTGGATTCCCATGAATTTATTTCAGGTATCCTCGGGCTGAAGTTTCGGCCTGAAGAGATGGAGGAGTTGAAGGGAATGTACAGGAAGGAGGACTTGAACCTGACCATGTTCAACTACCAAGCATTCTGTTATGGTGAGGAAGGAAGTAGAATCTAGAAGGACAGTATTTATCCAGTTCTTGAGTAATACGGACGTGAATACCTCCCGTAGTCACTCATACATTCTCTTTGTCTTTAGTTCTTTTCCTTCTAACTCTGTGAGGCTATCGGCAGTGCCTTCACCTATGACCAAGTGCACAAAGACCCGTTGGCGACCGTCTCCCTACCAACCAGTGCTGCCACTCTGCCAAGCCGTAGGTCGCGACTTGAGTTGTCCGACGAGGAGAAAGCAAAGATCGATGATATCGAATCCAACATCCGACTCGTTGTGTCGAAGAAACGTACTATTAGTTCTTCTTTGATGCTGGTTTGAGTTTGACCTCTATTACTAGAGAGGTTTAGTACTGTGACTGACTGTTGCTTGTGTCGAGGAAACGTAGTAATGTAGTTCTTCTTTGCTTGTTATTTGACCTCTATTACTAGAGAGGTTTTATTCTTCACCTCTTGAAAAGGACATCGAGAAGCTTCTTAAAACGCCCTGTTCGACGTGGAGCAGCACTTTACAGTGCCTTAGACTCAACCTTGAACCTTGATACTCTATGTCCTCTGACGTTAGGAAGATCATCAAACGCAAACCTCTATTCGTTTACCCTGTGATCATTTTCGTGAATCCTTTGCGGCGTCTGGTCCTTGTGATCAACCTTGAACCTTGATACTCTATGTCCTCTGACGTTAGGAAGATCATAAAAATCACTTCCTATCCTATCCGAAACGCAAACCAAAAATACAACAGGTATCCTCTTCGTGAATGCATTCAAGGACTTTGACAGGACGAACCAGGGCCACGTAACCGTCGACCAGTTCCAGAGGGTGATGGCAACGCTGAACTTGCTGTCTTCGCAGGACGATACACCATTGAAGTTGCTGGCCAAGAAATACTGTGATTTGGGTATGCACTTGTTGTTTCGCTCAGTAACATAGTAATTCCTCTGTAACAAGACTACTCGCTAATTCAGTTAGTTAAGTTAGTTAACGCAAACCTCTACTCGTTAATTAACAAGACTGCCGATTAAGTTAGTTAACCTAACTCGCTAATTTCTCTCCTTGTGTTTCGCTCAGTAACAAGTATCTTGTCATGCTGGAAGAGGATGCACTTGTTGTTTCGCTCAGTAGCAGTATTCTGAATTAAATTTCAGTATTGAGGAGTACAACGAACATAGAGTAGCTGCACGAAAGGACTGAAGAAACTGCGTAAAAGTCTACGGGTACTTCTGATGGACGATTTTTACTTTCATCCCCAAACAAACAAAGTTCTTCATCTCCAACTCATCATGTTCAATGGGTACACCACTCCCACCACTATTTCTACTACAGGTTCCCCCAAGTATTTCAACTACGTTGAGTTCTCTCGAGTCTGCGAACCAGCTGAACCGGATATGCTTGCGGGCGCTGCAGAGGCCAAGCTGCCGTATGAGAAGCCCATGCCAAGCCGCTACTTCGACATGACAGGTAAGTGCTACGATGTCACCGATGGCCGATTGAAGGGCGGTGACTAAGTCTACTTGTTCGCAGAGGAGTTGAAGATGTTACTGAAAGATGAATAGAACAATAGAAGTGGACTCTACAGGAGTACTTGATTGAGAGTGATATTAGTCTTACATTTTGGAAATCTACTGAAATTCAACGAAAATTGAACGACCAATAGGTACAGCTTGTGATTGAAATAACACTTGTTACGCGCAAAGAACACTATCAATATCAACGTAGGGAACAGAAACAGCAGCTTTGAGATCATTGGAATATCGCAGGAACAGAATTCGCTTATTAGGCTAGAACGACGTGATTATTATTAACGTGCAAGAACAAGAACCGAATAGTCAAATTTTGAAATCTAACGATATTGCATAGTATGTCTAAGAAATGAACCACGATGGTACTACTAGTGTACAATACTAACACGACATGACCGATAACTCTCATCAACACGAAAAATTTATTCATTGAGGATTTTGAAGTAGTGCATCTAGAACCAACCGTTATTGTAGTGCTATTAAAAACAGACATTTCTTTCGCAATGAACAAGAAACTAGTCATCATGTAAGAGGATAGGAAATATGCTAAAAATGAAAGTAATCCCGATTACCGAATGAATCTAGTTCTTCATGCAGCCGGAACTGTAATGACAACATGAGTCGTGAACTGCTACGACGCTGTGTAAAGAATTCAGAAAAAGAAATGGGGTTCAAAATGTGTGAATCCTCGGGTACTAGTTTGTAAAGAAACGTTGGAGCAGATAGTAAGTCAAAAGAGATTTACGTGGAGTGCCACTGCTGCTGTTGGGAATGGCAGAGCAAGTCTCTTCCTTGTGTTCTGTCTGTTCAAATTGATCTCTCAAGTTTAGAAAAATAAGAACACATTGCAAAAAGGAAGATCCGTGAAGTGAAGATCCACCTTGGGGTTCTTCCTGTGCAAGACATCCGAACAGTGAAGATCTTCCTGTGCAAGCCATCCGAACAGAGCCTTCACTTGAGTACACTTGAGTACACTGCAATCTGAGGCGGCAGTACACCTGAGTATACTGCAATTTCGCTAAAGCAGCAGCCCCAGCTGGTGCGTCGAACGATTCGAAAAATTTGTAATTTGTAACTGTAATTGGTGAACGGATGCTGTTATTTGATCCACTTTTGAGGTGCCAAGACTGCACAAGATGAAGATCAATATCGGTTTTAACTCATCGTTCTAGATCTTATTGAAGATGACGTGCCTATGTGGTTCTGGTTCTGACTACTGGATGATGATGATCCCTCCTCTGCCAGCGTGACTTTCGTCCTGACTGCAAGCATGGCCTGCTACATCTTCGCTGCAAGTATTACGTGCATATCAGAAAAATTATCGGTCAATAGAGCCTGGATGCATGGCGCCTAAATTTGTGGTGCAACGGCGTAGAACGTAAGCCATTGTTGAAGAAGTGATAAGACACGTTGAATTGAAGATAGGCGGCTTGCTACTGGCAGTCTTATTTTTTTTCAGTATTTGGTTAGCATGCATCATATTCATCACATTCATATTGTGCTTTTTCCAGTGTCAATACATTGTGCTTCATGCAAAATGGCTTGGTGCATGAAATCTATTCTCACTAGCAAAACATAACTGGGTGTGTGCTCTGTCCTGTCACATCACATCTTACTGATTAGCACAGACTAGTTTGAATTACATCCTACATCATAGCACTTTCTACTACAAAAATTTGCCGCTTTGATCCATCGAATCTCAAAATCGACCAAACACTACAGGGTTCAGGTGAAAATCTACTTGGTTAAGGGGCTTTATCGCCAATAAAGACCACTTTGTTCTGGTAGTGGACACCCTACATGATCAGTTTTGATAGTAACTTCTAGGAGCTCTTAGACTTGTAGATAGGTATAAAAAACGGGCCTCCCGCCAGGATAGCGAAAAGAGATTGATTCCACAAAAAGATAGTACCTGATGTACGACGGATTACGAGAGCATCCGCTTTTTGAAAATGATTTACACGACCCTCACTTGAGTGATGTTTATAAGTAAGTAGTTTTGTACTATGATTGGAAGTGCTAGGCGAGTTGGATAAATCTTTTGTGTAAAAAAGAAGTATCTGCGTATACTTTGTTCCAGGAAGGATAGGAAGTTTTCGGCAATTAGATAGGAATGGATTAGGAGTATCTTCGTAGGATTAGTAGTAAGTACTTTAATAGAACGAGTTCAGTATTAGCATCCAGCAAGTTCAAGGAGCACAGGCCAACCTCGCTATTGTATGAGGATCATCTCTGACTATCTTGTTCAAAGGATTATCTTGTGTGTAGCTATTGTGTAATGATAATCAGCTCTAGGACGTAGTTTTGTTTTTGGGTCTTCAGCAGCCATTCATGTCTGCCAGTTTTCCTGGTAGGCCCACACCTAACCTAACCATAATCTATCTTTGACTTGAATGTTGTATCGTTTTCAAAGCAGGAGTGAAGAAAGGTAGTTGATTCACGATGCTAGCTGATTCTTGACGCAGGACTGTTGTACGTATACGATTTACCAGATTAGAAGGCGTATCGATAGTAGACATGGACATTATTCGTTGGTGTGCCGTTACTGTGTTTAGTGTGTAGACTGTGGTAGAGACACCACTTTGAGTTTGTGTCGATATCACAGTTATACCCCACGATTGGGTAGTACACTGCTAGCACTAGTTATACTACTTCACGACGATGTTGCCGCGAACTCAGGTAAGCAAGCAGCGACCCTCAGACGGGGCACTGCGAGGGACTGACTCTGGCACTCAGAGGGGTGCCGCGAAACGCTACAAGCACGTGTCACGAGCCCCGAATGAGGATCCGCCAACTCCAAGCTCGTCTTCAAGTTGTCCACCACCGAGTCGAGGTGCGCTGCTTCCTAGTAGATGTTCCGAATCGATGTCCCAGAGGAGCAAGGCTCCTCAAGGTCAAGGACGAAGCACATTTGGCACAGCTGGGGCTCGTGGGTCAACACACGGGGATAAAGGTGGAGCAGATTCCAAGGATTCCAACTCGGGATCTGATGCACCAAGTAGTATCAAGTCTAAGGGTTTGTCTCCAGCAATCGTCAATTGTCGGGCACCGGCTTCACCGAGCATCACAGACTCATCACCCTCTGCAAGCGCGGACTCGAAAGGCGCCTCTTCACCTGCTCAAGACGCAGACCAAGAAAAAAAGCGGCCGCCCAGAAGGACCAGACGGGTATCTACTGATATAGCAGCTCGTTCGAGTAAGGTGTTGCGGAAGGACACGACGTTGTTGAAGGACATGCCTGCGGAGGAGGGACACACGCCGACGGACAGCCCTACTTGCTCTCAAAGCCCTATAGCAACCAGAAGTGCTCCGAAAGTTCTTGTAAGAAATTGTTCAAAGGCGAAGGTGCAGTCAGGTGGTTCGAAGGCGAACACCTTCCAGTCTCACATAAGACGTCAACGTCTTCCTTCTATGAAAAACATTTTGCCCAATGATTTGGTGCCAAGAAGGTGTGGTCCTTTGATGATCTCATTTGATATGAAAATGGCTGGCGAACGGAAGATCTATGCAGATCACTTGAAGCAGTGGTATCAGAGACGGCGAAAGCTAAAACTTGTGCTTTTTGCGTTGCTCGACAATGCACCAGAGAAGCATTCGCCGGACACATTTAAGCAGAACACGGAAGGAATCAACATTGTTAAAAGAATCCTGGGGAGGTCTGAAGGACCTCAGTATGGCACAGCGGATGCCGAGACCATAGCTGCTCTCGAAGCCGACCGGGACCAGGCGATCCTGAACTTCTCGGAAGATATGGGCTTTCACGCGACGATGCAACCGAAACCGCCGTTAGCGCTCCTCTGTGGTCGTTCATCTGTGCCGTCTGGTGGTCGCCGCTCTCGCGCCGCGAGGAGGAGAGCAGAATTTGAGAACTTGTCTCGCGAAATAAACGGCGTCTATTGGAAGTGGGCCAAAGAGTATAGGATACCGATACGAGGATCACGAGCTTCATGCTGGAGCGGTCGGCGAAACTACAACGACCACAACAAAGGAAATAGAGCGACATATTTCCGTTTTGTTAGAAAGCAAGCTGTCATGAACAAGGACCAGCATTGGACGAGAACTACGACACTGGGTGGTCGTTGTGGGACGCGTAGAAGGAGACACCAGTACTACAACAATGACCATAAAAATCTTTCCAACTCTTCCAAGTCCAACAGAACCTTGGAAGTGGTGTTGCGCAGTTCCAGTGACGTCGTGCGTGAGTTCTACGCGAACAGGCTGCTTTCGCCATTGCTGATCTACGGGAAGGGTCTCCAAGTAGGCGACTGCGTGCCGCGTGCGGTGCGCAGGTTTAAGAATCGACGAGATGAATTCTACGACCGACTTACCGTCAAAGACGAGTGCACGATTTCGGATAAGAACAAGACCCTCGATGCTTCGAAACTTTAAGGCTTCGAAACTTTAAGGTTAATATCCTTACCCACGACACTGCGTCCCCTCGCGTCAAACTATACCTCAAGAACAGGTAAGTGAATGAATGAATGAGTGAATGAATGAGAAGCTATCCTTTTAAGAGAGACGCTTTATTCCAAGGGAAAAGAGGTCTCCGGATGATATTCAAGATGGATTAGGGTGCCCTCTAAGAGCTGGCCTGTGAAACATTGCACTGGCGCTTCCAGATTCTGCATGGTTTCGTCGATTTCCGCAAAGTCCCCAGCGAGGACAGACTAGCTTTATGGAAGACGGACTCTAACTTGAGATATGTTGACATTTTTTTCCCATCTTTTTCCATCGTACATTGACCGCTAGTGAAGTGGAGACCCCCACTCTATACAGTACAGATAGGTACTTACTTACGTACATCTTCTCCAATCAGAGATCATAATTGTGACCCTGTAGTCGTGCGTAGTATGTAGAGACTCATGTTGACTAGAATTTGTTTTATCCAACATTAACATTTTTTTCTTCTAAAGCGTTCCTCTATTACGCCGTTTAGTAAACCAGATGGTGATCAGCTGAGGAAGACTGCCACGAGTCTGTCAGCAAGTCGTTGTCCCTTGTATCAGGGGACAGCGGAAGCGCACGAAAGAGCGATGATGGGTCCGCAGATGCTGGCGTTTTTGTTAAGGCTCAAAAGAATTAGTTTGTTTCGAAGGGTCATTTTTCTCTGTTATACCTGTAGATGTCTACTACTCTCATTTCAAGCACTGTTTTCTCCGCTTCAAGGCTTGTCTTCCTCTGTGTTTTTCTTTCTTAGGATAGATGTATAAGGAGATTTATGCCAGTTCCTGTGAGACTATTTTTATTTATCCAAGGTGCCTAGCACCTTCAAAGATTGTAATTTTGCGCCTTTTATTAATATTTTTCCTCTGTTTCCCTCTAGGGAACAATGATCTCCAGGAATGGCCTCGTCCCGAAGAAATGGTCTTCGTGAGCTCTAATGTTAGAGTGGGCAGATAAGGAGGATCACCTATTTCAGGAACACATAAGGAGACATCCGCGCAATCCGATGCGTAAAGCTTTTGCGATGCCGCTTTTTACCGTGAACCGCCACGACGCCTACCGGCACGATGTCTTCTTCTTCTGTCCTGGAGTTACGACCTTCAGCAGCCACTCATGTCTGCCAGTTTTCCTGGTAGGCCCACACCTAGCCTAAACTTATCACCATGACATGAAAGCAGCTAAAGTGTTATCACCATGACATAAAAGATTCCCAGTTGTTTTTTTGGCGTTGATAAAACTTTGGAAAAACACGGCCCACCTGGTGGAGTCTACACAGATCTTTTATGCGAACGAATGAA